CACATCGCAAGGATGTGCGTCATCATACAGGAGCCATTCCAAGGTTTGGCAGCACACCACTGACAACTGTGTACTTAGGCGACGACATAGCCACTCAATAACGGTTCAACCAAGCTTGCTTATATATGCCAAAAACATGACGTGTCAAGAAACATCAACATTTATGCAGTCAGCATAGTAAGGATTGATCTGACTGAACATCACGCGCATCTCAGTCGGTTTTGGTCAAGAGTATCATCATTTGGTTTGTCCAAACCAACTTGCCAAGGAATCCTCAGAATTATCGAAGCACAATCAAGCATGTCATGTGCAAACAAAGAATCTGAGAATGCTTTTGTCAACCTTCATGACATAGTAAGGAATTGAATTGGATGCTCTTCAAATGTTTTCAGTGGAAGGGCACATCACAAGGATGTGCGTCATCATACAGGAGCCATTCCAAGGGTTCGCAGCACCCCACAACATGACCTCAAGGATGACAACTGTGTACTTAGGAAAAACAATAATTAAGTAAAATCAAAAACTACAAAACAACTGCGGGAAGACAATGGGTGCGCAGTCAGCATAGTAAGGGTTGATCTGTCCGTACATCAAGCGCATCTCAGTCGATGTTGGTCAACAGTATCAACATGTTGTTTGTCCTAACCAACTTACAAAGGAATTCTTTGAAATTGAATTATCCAAGCACAACTCAACTGCACAAAAACAATATATATATATAACTTATATCCAACCATGCTTTTGGCAACCTTCAGAACATAGTAAGGAATTGATTTGGATGCTCTTCAAACGTTTTCAGTGGAAGGGCACATCGCAAGGATGTGCGTCATCATACAGGAGCCATTACACATATGAAGCATATGAAGCTCAAGGCACAAATGGAGCTAGTAGCTAGTAGACATTCCTCTAAGAGACCGTGTTACTCCGCGGGTGTAGTTCCTGGCACAAACAACAAACCTGTCCAAACCTTGCTGATGCAAAAGCAGAACGAGTTCTGCATGAACGTTGCGGTCCAGGACTGCCCTTCCAGTGCTCTGGAAGGATTTTAGTACTTCATTCTCGTACAGCAGTCTTGTAGGGTTCACCAAGTGCTTGTTCAGCAAATAGAAATAAAGAGCACTTGGATGCTCCATGGCAAGGCATGTTGATTGGAGTTCGTGAAGGAGGCTTTCCCCCAGCAATATGTTTTGAACGCAACTGGCAGCATTGACAGTGGTCGAGCACTCGTCAAACCAGCTAGATCAAGGCCTAACTACCCCAAATAAGTGATTTGTTCCCTTGTCAGCACTCAGCACTCAAATGGCGACCCCCGTCGATGATGGAGAAAACAAAAAACGGCTCATCACTCCTTGGCCCTCTAAATTCTGAGGGGACTATGCAACGGACAACACACAACTATGGTGGATTAAAACACCAGATGTTTTCGCACCACTTCTGATGCCAGCCGGTGACAAATAAAGCGAGGATCCATCCGGCGTTGTTTGGAAGGTTCTCAATAGAATCAAATCACTATAGTGGGTCGACGACTGATTCCTTGAACCTTGAACTTCCAAATTCTTCCAAACAAACCAAGCACCTTCAGGTTGAAAAAGAAAAACAAGAAAACACCCTTCCACAGGGGGCGGAGCGTGGAGAGAACCCCCAACAACAAGAAGGTGAGCGGGCTGTCTACAAACCCCCATGCGCAGGTGGGTTCTTCACACCGGTCGATCTTGCATTGCAGCCAAAGTGCCCACGCGCAAGCAAAGCAATGCGCCATGCTTTCGCTGCGAGACAGCGGCCTCTCGCAGAACCCGAGACAGGCGAAAGAACGCCGAAGGTTGGGGTGCAAACGACGTGTTTTTGCGCGAAAAATCGTTCGAGTTGGTCGCGAAAAATCACACTGAGCCTCTCGATGGTTTCTGTCCGATTTGTCAGATGAGAATTAGGATCTGGGATGGAATGTGAACAGGATGGACTCATTGAAGATATCATTGCTCTAGATTACATTGTTATATATAGTTATAGTATCGTCATCTTCTATGACTCTGTTGGTCTTCCAACTTGACTACATCTCACGTTTGTCAAGCTGAAGGATTGGTCTAGAGCTACATGCAACAAAGAATCAGCACCCATCCGATCTTATTAGGGGTACATCATGGTACATCTGTCCTTCTAAATAGAAGGCCCAGTGTAGACCCTGCGGATTCTGAAACTAACATATATTCTTCTTGCACTTGAAAACCAATGACGCCATACCATGCTACTAGTAACATGTTGCCAAGCACATGTCTCATCCTCGACACGCTTTTTTTTGTCCAACATTGATGTAAAACCCTACTCACCAACAAAATGGAAGTGAACATGGACCCCGGAAAGGCTTTCCTCTGCATGTCAGTAAGTCAGTATGAAAATTTGGAGTTTAGTCAATACAAAAAGCGGAACATCGCTGTCTGCTCTACCACGCATGGGCTCCGGGTGCATTATCCGGCCAAGGGGCAAACTGAGCGCTGAAGGAAGATATGCTGAAATTGCGCGCACGGTTGGGGAGTAAAACTTGTAGAGAAAGTGGAGAAAACCTGAGCACTGCGTCGCATGTTCACATGATACCAGCTGACACAAGCCCAAGAAATCCGCAAGGACCCCAACAAATCCAATCATGCCCGACGGAACTTGGGGGTATCTCCCCTCTTTTAAAGTCAACCAACCAATATTGGTCTTCAGGCCATCTGGCAGTGGGTCATGGCACAGGGGGAGCCTGGGTTTTTCCCACCGAACATGAATAGATGACCAGATGGAATAGATGACCAGATGGTCAACCAGGATCTGGACCTGGAAAGTGCCATGACCCAACGGACCCGAGGACCTCAACCAACCGAGCTAAGCGGTCTCTGAACATCTGCAGGGGCGAATGCGCCCCGTTGGCCCCGTGGTGCTGTCTCAGTAAGGCCTGGAGATGACGACAAACACAGCCACTCGAATGTAACAACCCAATTCCCTTTAGGATCCACAGGTTCGATGATGAAGAACATCTCATATTTGCCATCAACCGGCCTATCATAGGACAGTGAGATGATCATGTGACAAAATCTGCTAGATATATGTCCAACATGAAGTGAAAGGCCAAGAGTGGACACGTCATGAAGTTGAGAAGCTACCAGCAGTCACTTTCGACGGGGTGCGATCCATGGAGGTTCCGAGGGCCCTTGTCACATCCACTCACTGGATGGGACGAGCCACACCTGTGACTCCTGCTACTTGATGTTTCAATTCAGAGGTCTATATAGTGGCTACCCCCTCATTGCGTCGGACTCAGGTGTAACAAGGACCGGGTGTGTCACACGCACAGACCGGGCGATGCCACGGTGAACGTCCCACCCCCTGCAGTCTGCAGGGGATGAGCTATGCTGTGGACCATAAAAACAACAGATTTCACAATTTCAAGTTGAAATTCAATTCAAGTATATTCTGAGTACATATATAGTTATAGATTAATATATATATATATATTATATATATATGTATTTGTGATATATTTCTGAGTGATACCAAACCAAGCCACCTCCAGTGTAGGCCTCAGCTAAGCACGGCATCACACGCCACAATGTGGCCCTCTGCAGAATTGGTTGGAAGCAATGCAAATGAATCCCCGATACTACTCCCCCCTCCTGTTCACCCTAACCACTGACACTATGTTGCTCTTTTCCCTAAGGGGTGGCTTGGCTTTTGGGGGGCAATGCACGATGGTAACGAGTACATATTCGGATATAGAATTTGCAGGAGTAAATGAACACATCTCCAGAAAAGCAGCGTCTCTACGCTGCATGGATGTGCTGCGCGTGTGTATGGAGGCAGTGCCATATGTGGAGAAGAAAAGCTCCAACGAGCCGCCAGAAAGTTCAGACCTGGAAGAGGGCCTAACAATACCCACATGAGACTGGGAGGTTGCCGGGGAGGTTGCCGCTACATGCCTAGAACCTGTTCAACCATAAAATTTTGGTATAAGAGTTGGTGATCCAAAATCAAGGTCAGCTCATGGTGTATTGTTGAATGCTATCACCACATACAGAGAATTGACTTCCTCCCAGAAACTCGGACAGGTTCCTGTCGAGGCTTTTGAGCTGGTCAAACCCCGATCCAGCGAAGCCGTCGACGGCTTCGCAGGGTGTTGGAGTGGAAACGATGCTTCCACTTGGGCAGCAAATCTACATCTGAAAGACTCCGCACTACTCCTGATACTTCACCGCACTACTTCACCCCAATTTGGATGCTTCCGAGCGGCGCCACCAAAGACGGTCAAGGCCCACAAACGTTGCGGCTCGAAGTGGCCCTCATGGTGCCCCCTGGAGAACTCCGTGAACGTTTAGCGGCGAAAAGTGATGAGACGAGACGAGTTCTGTGGAGTTCGGGTGTGTATGTTCAATCCGTGAGGCTCCGTGGCCCAATGGGTAGACTAGTCCAGTCTATGTCTCTTCCTTTCTTCACTGGGAGGTCTCCCTATGCCCTATAATACACCCGGGTTCGACTTCGTGGTAACCCCTAGGCGTGGTGGTGCCATATGCAGCGGGACGAACGATCCGAGTCGTTCCACCTAAGCCATTCGCCCATGTTCATCCATGTCTCACTGACGGTGTCGATCGACCGCGATGCGGATGGTATCAAAGAAGTTCTGTTCGCTGTGGAGTTCGGCATCATCTGCCAAGAAGGTTGTAACCCCTGTGAGTGCTTGAACCAGAGACTAGGACTTTGCCTACACTACAAGACAATCGAGGGATCCCTGTGATAGAAAGAAGGTCAACAACACGATAAGCTTAATAACTCAGTACCCAAAGGCTGAGTGGCCCTTCTGCTGTTTCGATCCTCTGAAACTAAAACACTCAAATCCGCCGACCCCACACCGTGGGGTGAGGCGTGACTGTCGATGTTAGCCTTAGCCTTAAGCCTTAGCCTTAGACCTAGTCCTTAGCCTTAGACCTAGACCTAGACCTTACCTCCCCTACCCCTCCGGACCCCTTGCTGCAGTGACGAAGTCCCGTTGAATTTCTCCGGGAAAGCGACCTGGATTGTCCAAGAATCTCCCATCCCAATTGATTTACATCTTGGGGCACCCTCTCGACCCGCGCGGGAAAATAAGCACGGTCCAAAATGGTCCTGGGCTCGAATCCCGGGCTGGTCGCGGCATGGTCCCGGCCAATGCCCTTGCTTTTTCGTAGATTTTGTCACGTTTTCTGTTGGTTTATGAGATTTTCAAAGGCTTTTCTGGCATTTTCCTAGGAGTGCTCTAGGCTTTGTCTTTTTGGGTGCCTGCTTTGGTGGTGCTGGGTTGGGTCTAAATTGGTAAACCTGGGAGGTACCCAAAAAGTCGACTTTTTGGGTACCTGCTTTGGTGGTGAAGGGTTGGGTCTAAATTCTTGGGCAATGATCGGGGTTCATGCAAGAGCTGACGTCCGATGGTAAATCTGGGAGGTACCCAAAAAGTCGACTTTTTGGGTACCTGCTTTGGTCGTGCTGGGTTGGGTCTGCACTCTTAAGGCTAAGGCTAAGGCTTAAGGCTAAGGCTAACATAGAGCAAGGCTAGCGCTAAGGTTCTATCCCTTGGGGGTCGGCGGCTGCAGGCGGTAGCCTGGTAAATATTGATTGTTTGAGGTAAAAAGCGTCCAAGCTGTATTGCAATGTATTGCAAGAATACATCAAGATACAGTCCTTGTAATACAATGGATGATGTTAGTTACTAAACAAACACCAAACCAACATCAAAACTTAATAGACGTTAAGTTAGTCAAATCAAAATCTGCTTGGTACCATTGATCTCCTCTCCTCCCGCATATTCCGGTCACCACCGGGTTCCCGGACCATCGCAAGTCAGAGAGCTCCTGGGAACGCAATGTCCAACCATGTCCAACCCAACTTGTTCGAACGAAAGGCCTGCCAAAAGTGCTGCTTGTAAATGGCCTGTTCATGTTGGTGTCCAGCAACTCAGGAGATCTTTTCATTGAACTTTATAGTCCCTGACTGTTCTTGTGTTCGGCAAGTCTGGGAACGCAAAAAGCATCGAATGTCCCCCAACAGCCCAAGGCAAAACAAATGAACCTGCGACCAAACAAACAAGACGCAGGCAGTGGGACACCTAGGGATGAAACCAGTTGAAAAAAGGAAACACTGATAAACACTGTTTCAGTCCCCGCAAGAAGGCAATGATGGTTCTGGAATAGCAACGGTATCAGCCACAGCAAAACGCTCTAAGAAAGACACGTCAACCAAACCGTTTGTCCAACTGATGAACGGTGAAACCGACCGAACGAACGAAGGTCTTCGTTCGGTCCTGGGGTGGCTTGCGCTTTTCCACGACCAGCTGACACACGAGGTCGCCGAGGAAGCCCAAGGCAGACCTCGATGGAGAAGACGCCGTTGTTGGGAAGAGAATGTCCCAAAATAGACCCGTTTTCCGTTTGGGTGAGGAGGCGGATGGAGAGGCCAAAACACATGCTTTTGGGTGAAACATGACCGGAATCTCCGACTGCGTTGATGGGCCGTGAGTCTTGGAAAAACCATGAAAAAAACCGGGAAAAACGCAGGCTGACCACTAAAAGACTATACAAATGAGATCAATCTACGGCTCCGGACCCACGGCCATCTTCCCAAGCCATCACCACGCACTATACAGTTACACCGAGTCTTTGTGGGGGGGACACCACCGTGGGATTCCTCCACCAGCGACCGAGAGATGATGTGCTGAGTCGGGATCGGTGATGGTGCTGGTTCGGACGGTCCGAACGAAGAACGGAACAACAACATGTTGTGCAATGCTGATGCATGATGCATGCAGAATTGTGTTTGCAGAGTAGATGGCACAATCCCCCATACATGTCTGTAGTCTTTTAGATGGGGTCCTCTTAGATGTGGGACCGGTGCTTGGGCCGGTTTTCGTCTGAGAGGAGGATAGAAATCACATGATCATCCCTAGGGCTCCAACTACCTCCTGGGTGCCAGGGTGGTCCAACTGTCTAACTATCTTCTGAGAAGGCCTAGGGCTGTACCTGGACCATCCAATGGGTGCCCAATGGAGATCGCGGATAGTCGGATAGTGGTGTATTGTAGTCCATTCGACACCCATTGGATGGTGCTGGAATAGCCATTGGGTATCCCATTCCCTGATTCTTGGGTCCAGTGGATGATGATGGTTAGGTTGCGGCCGACATCTATAAAAGGGTGATCAGTGTTTACCGACGGCTCTACAGGCAATGTTTTTCAAGCAGGATTGAACATGCTGCCAAGACCATTTGCATTAGATTCATGTTGAACTTAACACCTAAAATGTTATCTTCTGGCCAGGTCAACCAAACCAAATGTGATTCTTCCCGAAGGGTCTGGCGCAAGCGAGCAAAGACTCCTCCTGTACAAAGAAATAAGAACATAATCTTCCCATAGAAGGTCATGACACATGCAGTTGCGTAATGCTCGCAAACATGACTCAATCATGGAACATCCTATTGAAGGTTAAAATAAGGCATATCCATGCATATCCCTCAGATTGTTTGAATCGTGCTAATGTCAATTCACTTCTATATATTACAAACACTATATATATAGTATATTTGCAATTAAAAGCTCTGCTGCCATTGATTATTGGCTTGAAGTTCCTGAGATTCGCAGCCTTTTGCACCTACTTCATGCTTGGCGTACGCCGTCGTTGAAGACCGGCTCGCACACCTGAACATCTCTTGAAACAAAAAACTAACAACAAAACGGCAGGACTAGCAGGGACATCCATCGAAGGATCCGGTTAGCCATGCACCAATTCCATTTTCCTCAACCTTCACTCAAGGATCCTACAATCCAGGGGAGAACAAGAACACAAGACATGAACATGGATCAACGATGCTCCTAATGGTTTCTACGTCATTAGTCCCGATTTGTGGCAGAAATATGTCCAAGGCAGTTAGGCACCGAACGGTGGCACTCCTGGTATGCGTTCAAACCCACATCGCTCGGTTCGAACTCACTGAACTGCTCTCCAGGTCACGCGCTCAAGAGGTCGCTGCAAAAGTGCCGATCAGGCAGCCAGCGCCGCGCCATGGTTTTGAAGGCCCCAAAGGCCGTTGGGCCACGTCTTGCCTGTTTTGGAAGAGCGACATGAATCAATGCCTGATCTGCCTGGAGGCGAAACTTTTAACCCATCTTGCTTGGCACAACTGTGATCCAATCTCATTTGTATCATGCTTACGTCACTTCTATCAGTTTGGGTTGTGGCATCGTAAAATCAAGTGAAATCTTGGCATCTTGGTGCGAATTAGTACTCTATGACGCCTCATGCGATCGTGGTCCATGCGATCCATAAAAACACACAGCCTGAACAAAGCAAGGATGCTACGAACGGGGCGAACCTGGCCTTACTACGAACGGAGCAATGTTCGCTGCTAGGACCGGAGCATTTCGGGCATCGCAGCCCGAGTCCGGAGCAAGAGGACGCTAAGTGTGAACTCAGTAGAACTCTGTTGGGCTCTGAACATGCAGGTCAATATGTTCTTGGCGTCCTACGGCCGGTCCTGGTGGACGGTTTACGGCTGGTTTGGAGTTCCGATGTGCCATCATGCATGGATTGAACGACCAGCTGGATGGCTTACTGTTTTTCAACACATGTCCATTGCGCTTTGGCTCAACACATAAGCAGAAATGGCTTCCAATTGTTTCGGCAGTGCCGTGGGAGTTGTTCCAAGATGAATGTCTTAAAGGTCAACTTCACTGTGGTACCAACAAAACTTGCAAGAACATGCAAGAACCACAAAACAACTTGCAGCCACGTAAACCTAGCAAAGTCTTCTCGCAACGTTGGCTTGGGGTGCTGTCAAGGGATGTTGTAGAATCTTTGCAAAGCCAATGTTCTTGATATCTCAAGAATTGAAATGCATTCGAAACCTCGTACTGAAGATTGTGTTTTGAAGGATGGCCAATGAGTACAATATAGTACACTAATCTGATCATGAGTTCATGCCACCCCACCTGCAAACTTACTGGATCTTCGGAAGCAAGCATGCCAAAACCTGCTTTTCAAGAGCTACAACTCTTGAGCATCCAATCCGTCCAAAACTCGTTTCCTGTTGTCTTTACTGAACTCTTCATCACCAAACAACATGTGGAGACCGAGTTCCAAAAAGAGGCAACCCGTCGGTCATCTCGTAGCTCCGGTGGCAAGGGTTGACCTGTGACATCACGGCCGCTCCGGTGGCGTCGCATTGACACTCGCACGTCCGCCCGCATTTTTTTTGGAGGGGCGCGATCAAGGCATTCTGTGGCCTTTGTTTCACTGCTAAAGCGATCTTCCACTGCGATCTTCCCTTTGTTTTGCCTCCTTTCTGCTGGGTGGTGTTTCACTTGTCTTCTCTTTTCTGCCTCTTCGACCACGACTTCAGCACCGGCTTCTTTGACCCCGCCTGGATCCCAGCATGACCCGCGGCGGCCCGAGGCGTTCGGCGTTCGAGTTCGCCAACACGGAGACAGAGCTGATTAGCAGGAACAAGGCTTCAGAACTCTTCAGAACATCATCAAACTTACTGTACATGTACAGTGACATCATCGTATTGATGAAAAGCTGATGTAATCCCATGGGTGGTCCATGTGTTTTTTTCACGACACTGTTCGGCTTCTTCGTTCCACACCGGGATCGGACAGGATCTGTTCTTTCGGATCTGAAGCAAGCTTCAGATGGAATGGGTGACGAGCTTCACACCGAAAGAGAAGTTGTGACCGATCCTCCATGTTCCTCCACTCCAACCTCCGTCTCACGCGAAGCGAGCAAGCGACAGAAGGGGAGCACGGGTGGGGTCCCTGATGAAAGAGGATCGTGTTCGGCGCCCTTCGGGAGCACCGAACCAAAACCCTTCCGCGTTTCTTCGCCAACTTCACTTCGGACCGGGGATCTTCAGAATCTGAAGTTGGTTGCCACCTTTTGGCCTTTTCCCCACATACCCCCGGAAAACCGCATGTATTCCATGTATTTCCGATGGTCTTCGTACGTCCACCTCCACTGGAGACGAGTCGCTTCACTTTCGGGTGTCCTCGTCGACCCGTCTCAGACAACGAATTGGGCGGAAACAGTCCCACTGGTGGGGACGCGAGCTGATGCACCGGTCACGCCATGTCTGAGCCGATCGGCCTCCATGAGCCGATCGGCTATAGGTGAGGAAATTAATGATATCAACATCTGTTGATCCTATACAACCAGAATCAACCAGATGACATGTTGCCTTATGAATAAATGGGTATCCTGTATAGTCCTTGGATATCCTTGGTCAATCTCTCTCAATCCCCGTTTCCTCTTTAGTCAACTTCAAACATGAAAAAAAAGAAGAAAGTGAGGTGTTTCGGAGCAAGTGAAGCTGGATCAGCGAGACATTCTTTACAAAACAGGATTTGTTGATGTCCATGTCACATGTCCTTCAAGCTATCAACCAAGAAAGAGGGGGCTCGAGGTCCGAAGTGCTTTGCCTCTTCATCCACCGGGTGTAGATCAACCCTCTGCGGGTGTTTCTGACCTTGGCTTGCCCTAGGTCGCCGAAAGGGTCTGTAGAAGACATAGCTGGGTCAAGTCGTCGAAAAAACAATGCTGACTTTGATGACATCTATAGTAGCAAGAATGCTCCTAGTAGTATGGCCAGTCCTAGTAGCAAGAATGCTTCTAACAGCAATGCCCTTGTTGGTCACCCAGACCCAGAGTTTCTTCGAGTAGCATCAGCGCACTCGCCAGTCTTGCACTTTCATCACACCGTCACGGCTACGCAAGCTCCTGCGAAGGGTTTGGCTCCACAAATTGTGGCTAAAGGGAGCTGGACAAATGTTGTGCTCAATGAAGTGATTCATCCGGGTTCTCAAAGGAGGTCACGACTGGAGACACTTGAGAGGTGCAGGAAGCGCTTCTTCCTACAAGAAATAGACTTCAGATGCACCAGAACATCTGCATGACTTCAATAAGAAACCCAGAAACATCTAGAAACATCCCAGAAACCCTGCATGACTTCGCGGATATGTTCGCCCTCGATGTCGAACGCCCGTCTGATCCTATGTCGCGCCCCGACCTTCGGTTCGTCCAGGCGACGGGTCCAGCGGACCTGCGGATCCTTCCGCTCAAGTTGGTTCTCGCATGTGGGATTTGTTTAAAAAATTTGTGTTGCCCGTTCAGTTGATGGTTTGGGCATATCCAACGGACATCATCATCATCATCATCTGATGACTCGCCCTGATATCTGATAGGGCAAACAACAATATAAATATACAAGGATGATTCCGCAGGGATGACCTTATTGTTACCTTTACCAGTAACAGTCGTAACAGTGAATTATGAGGGTTAGTAAAGACCTTTCCCAAAAATTGTGACAATCTGTTGCCGACTGTTGCTGATCATTGGATGCACTCTAAATATGTTTATATTGAATTCCAGGACCATCCAATGGCTGTCCTAGCTATTCCGGATAGTAGTGTAGGGTAGTCCATCCAGGACACCCATTAGGAGGGTCCTGCTGATCATCAGGAGTGGCTTCACTTTGCCATTCCTCCGCTTCGCGACGGCGAATCCCCCGGCCTCGGTTCCTCCCGTGCCGCCTCGCGAGTGAATGCACGAATCATCGCCATACAGCGACAGCCATACAGCGACTCCCACACACATTTAAAAAGAAACACATCCTGGACCCTCCTGTCTGGGTGTCCTGGCTGGACTACCCCACACTACCTAGTTGGGCTTCCAGACAGGGCACCCCGACAGGAGGGTCCTGGATATAATATGTAGTGTAGAATATAGTGAATCCCGTTAAGACCGTGACGTCAAGAAAATAAGAAACATGTCGAAAAGAATCGACAAGCAATAGGTCCAATCTCAAAGCACAGGCAGCGAACACATGTTTCGATCTCTCAAGTGGGCCGCGCGAAGAATGGCGACCCCTAAAGACCAAATGGATGGATGAGTACTGGAGGGGTACTTGAAGATTTGAAAGGTCTCAACCCAGTCTTGAAGACATGTTATCATTCTTTTGTAGGACGCCTGGAAGACATTGGCAACATTTTACAAGCTGGGACAAGTGCTAGTATACTCTGGCTTTGACCACACAAATTCCAACATTGTGCAACCTTGAGTCAGTGTCTGAAAAGCTCATGCAGGAAACAAATACTGGTGGCTTTCCAAACAAAAAGAGAGGAAGACCAGGAAAAACTGTGAGGGATCCAAATTAGTAAAACAACACAAAAAGAAAGCTTGGCAGTAGAAACACTGAGTTTCCATCTCACTTGCTGGAGACACTGGACGTTTTCACCATCAAGCTGCTGTCAGCCCAAGCACCAAGTCCATCGGCGTCTTCTTCGATTCTGCGCCCGACCGGGTCCGCTGCCAGGTGGTCCGCGGGCCTGCCATCAAACGGGCTTTCGCCACCAAGGCCCGTTCCGACAAGAAGTGGGTGACGCCATTGGCCCTGGAACCGGTGAAGGTCGAGCGGAACGGGAAGGGGCAGGGAATGGGAAGGGGGGGAATGGAAGACTTGTACCAGGGCCTTGTAAGGGGTGTTTATTGATAGCAACTTAGAGGTTAGGGGTGTCCATTAACCACCCCTTAAAGCCTTATGGGGCCTGGTAGGGCCTAGTGACAATAGTGGTTTGGATGAAAAGATGGTCGGAGGACGGGACAAAACTCTGCAATTTTCTGCAGTTTTAGCAAGCTCGAGTGTTTATACCTGTTTGTTCCGGAAGAACGCGTGCTGACCATGAACTCAGTGAGATCCACGGCGCTGTTGGTTGGATTTCCCAATGCCACCGATCCGTGATCTGACTCGGAACTGATACAGACCGTCGTTCGACGGACGATCGATCTGACTCGGGCTGGGCGGACATGTTGGATGGGCAAGAGCTCTGAAGCAACGTCCCTTAGTTGAGGAAAGTACACGATATATAGATGTTATCTTGACATCGACAACTGACAATGGATTTCAACGGGACCTTGGAGTTTGCACAGAGTTGTACCGCATTTGGCCGCTTTGACATGTTTTAATGTATGGACATCTGCAAGGGACCCCGGAGTCCGCTTCTTTTGCTTTGCCAATACGGTGGTGTGGCACGTCAATCGAAAATGACACCCATCTCAGCGATGTCCAAAGTAAATGAGGACACTTGATAGTACAATCTCTCTCCATGTTCAACCTCTAGACCCCGAGCAACCCAAGTACTTCGCTGGGACTGGGGATGTCTTCACTGGGCAACTGCAGGGTGTCCGTCCCACCCTTTCAGAAAGTTATAGGATGCTGTAATCCATAGGATATCATAGGATGCTGTAGTTGGTGGGGAGTCTTCCCGGGTCGATCCTATGAATCCATAGCAGCTGATTAGTTAAGGTACATATCATGTACCAGGACCATCCAAGGGGTGTCCTGGCTGGACTACCCTACCCTACTTAGGGATCTCCAGCCAGGACACCCCTGGAAGGATGGTCCATCTTACAAGCGTCTCAGATGTCTTCGTTCGGCTCCGGGCTCCACACCTGGCTTTCACGAAGTCAGCACTCGTGGTCACCTCGCTCGTCCGCGCGACCGTGGGCGGGCGGGTCGAGCCGGGCAAGCCCTATATGGATCAGCCGACCGATGCCGGGTGAAACCGCTTTATGGCGCCAGGCGGGTCGAGTCGTACTGAGAAGGTGGTGGATCAGCCTGGATCCCTTTTGGGGGGAAACAACAGTTTGATCCAGGAGCCAAGCCCCGCAACAGTCGACTTCGGGGCCGGGGCCGGTTTCAGGTGCTTTCCCATCTCTTTCATCACCCAAAACTGCGTGTGGCGCCGGACCATCACCTGTTGCCAATGGAGAACGGACAAGATCTCCGACGCCGCACCAGAAGACCCGACACTCGCCCGACGGAGGTGTTCCGGCTGGTGGGACGAGCAGTCGGGATGCAAGTTGGAAGGACCCATCCGTGGCCGGGCCAGGGGTGTCTAATAGCCCCGAAAAGAGGTTAAGGGGATTTAAGGGGTGTCCTTTAACCACCCCTTAGGGGGGCCTGGTATATAATATACTATAGCACCTTAGCATACCTTAGCACCTTTCAACTCTTGCTGCCAAATGGTTGCGTGATGTTGTGTGAGGTGGAGATACTCTTACTCTGCAGCTTTGTCATGCCGCAAGGCTTCAGGAGCATCGTACCATGTCGCAGTCATTTAGTGGGCAAGCTTCTGATGCCTCACCCAAAAATAAACCATGATAAACATGGATAAATCTTGAACAATTTTGAATATATCATAATTAATTCATAATATATTTGATTACCAATCACAGTGGATGATGGTTATAGGCCTTTTACTGGGCCCTGGGACACATCCGAGATCGATCCACGCCGTCCGTGCGCGGTCACGGTGTGTCGACGCTGCCGTCAACGGAGTCACCGCTTTTGCCGGCAGGTCCCGTCACCTGGGGTACCTATGGGATAGTCGGATAGTAAAAACTATTAGCTATTCTGAGAAACCTCAGTATTGGGAGGCTGACCCCTTCAATCACCTGCTAGTTGTTTTTGCATGGCCTATCATGGCCTTTTCAAGCTTCCAGCACCGATTAAACTGCAGTGTTTTTCCCACTGGGCAAGGGAAAACATGAAAAAGCCCTTTAAGCACATGATGAAGCACTGACAGGCTAAGGATGGCTAAGGCATGCTAAGGCTAAGGATTGGACATCCTAAGACTCCCCTGTGTGGCATAATGATTTGGCCACTTTAGGGTGTTTTCAGGGGTCAATGTAGGCATATATGTTCCGAATTTTATTGAGTGTTTGGGGTATGATCCACCTCTCTCACCCCCTCGAACCCGCACCAGCCGGATCGCCGGATCGCGTGGATCCACGCCTGTTCCAAGGTCTTGTGGGCCGTTTGCCGGATCTCATGGCGGTGCCGATAGGCTCCATAGCCTCCCCGTCCCGATCGTCCCGACTCGGAAGTGCCCGGCCACTGGGTATGACCGTTTAATGTTGCTCTATATACACACCTTGGGGAATGAGGTTTGGAGTGTGGAGCGTTATGGTGATGGCAAAGTGCAAAACCAGTTGGTTTTCCCCTTTGATTTCATTGAGTTGGAGTGTAAAAGAGATGTATTTAAAAGGACACCAGTCGGATCCAACCAGTTCCGGATTCAAAACTGAAAAACCGATGGCCTGGAACTGCACTACCCTACTCCCTACACATTTTCCTTATGGACCTGTGAATCCGATGAATCTCCATGCTTGGACACCACATGCGAAGAACATTCTGGATCATTCTGATATCTTAGAATCGTTGAAGGGTTTCAAAATCAAAAGAAACCAAAAACGACACCCCTATCTTCATCTTCCCCAGCCGCTGGCACGACCCAACGCCACCTGTGGCACCGCCGGCCACCGCGCCGCAGGTGGCTCCGCTGGCCGCCCCCACGGCGAGGCCTCGTGGGGCGCACGGAACGCGCGAGCGGAACACCGGGCTCCACGGCGGTGGGCTCCACGGCGGGCGAGTCTGAGAGTGGTGGGAAGAGTCTGAGGTGACCATGCTAGAGTCGGAGTCGTCCAGAGTCGTCCAGAGTCGGAGTCTCCAGAGTCTAGGACGTGACCAGGAAAGAGTGAGATCTAAACGTCATGTCGTTCAATGAGAGGGTCATAGAGTGGACATGTGTCCTTCTCAATGCACTACCACTTGCTGACTTGACGATTTCGGATGTCCCATGGCCTGCCCCTCCGCCAACAGCAGCGCAGAAGGGAATCGATAGGCCAAAGGTGAACACCGCAGGAATGACGCCTTTGCGACAGGCGGTATCTAGCGCATGCTGATTACCATCGTTACAATGTTCTTTGTCGCTTATATTTATATACTAGCGAAAGTGCTTGCTTCGTCACGCAACAAAACCAGTCAATTGAACCACTTGTTGTTACCATCTACAGGAAAGGTTTTGCTCCATGTAGTGTAGAACAATCTAACACCTGTTGTGCCAAGAGATAGCATCAAACATCTGACGTAACAACGGCTGTTACGTCGGGTTCTGTGTGTTTGTTGGTCCATTCTTGGCAACATGACATCCCCTATCTCCAAGTGGGCAAGACAAGTGCCAACATGTGCTCTGCGTCTGAGATGGATGACTTAAATGGGACTGTGGACGTTCGCATCGACCCAAAACACTCCAAAACACTTCCAGGACTAGGGCTTTTGTAGGATGACTCTAACATGAAATCTGGTTCCAAGTAATATATATATATATAATATTTTGTCCATCAACTAAACCACCCAAACTACCCACCCCCAGAAACACCAGGCACCTTCTCGAAAGGCATGTGGATCCATAATGATCCATACAATGTTGGATCCCAACTAGTAAACGGCCACCTCTGAGCAAACAACTGAGGGAGAGCGAATAGATACAGGCCCACCAAAAGTATCCTAGAACAGTAGCAGCAGTAGCAGCAGTAGTAGTAGTAGAAGCAGTGGTAGCAGTAGCAGTAGGAGTAGGAGTAGTCCTGGTAGTAGTGGTTTTGGTGGAGGTGATGGTGGTAGCAGTAGTAGCAGTAGTAGTAGTAGGAGGAGGAGTAGTAGGAGTGAGACAGGCAGGCATGTTCATCGTTTAAAGGGTCAAGCCAGGATCTTAATGGGAAGCAAAAAGCTGAACAATAAACAACTGAACAGGCTTTTGTACCACATGGCTAAGTTTGTGCATTATTCCGCTCTAAACAATTCCAAGAAGGCACTTCCCGTGAGCTTCTGTGCTCCTCAATTTAAAAGGTGTTTAGATCAATAATTTTAAAGAATGTTAATCAGGGTTACTGAACAAGGTGTTCAGGTCAGAGTTCCAGGAATCAAACAAGGCCTCAGAAGAGGTTAAGCAAGGGTCTTAAAGGGAATCACTATCAAACAATCCTGATTTAAACGCAACAAAAAAATACCAAAAGCAAAACACACATGTTTTTGTTGCCACATCCATCAAACAGCCTAAAACCTACACCGATATGAGAAACCGTGTGAGTCTCCACATCATTCACCCTGCCCCAAGATCCACGCCTACCGCAGCTCCCAGCAAAGTCCCAGTCGTCAGCCCCGTGGCCGCTCCACCTGAAGTCCGTCGGACCGGACGGACAGGGAACAAGGGCAGAAGGCTACTAGTAGCTTCTGAAGCTTCGAACGCAGCGATGCCCTTGTTACTAGTAGCTTCTTGTTACTAGTAGGATACTTAGGGAGTCTCATGAAGCTCTTTTTGGAGGGTGTTTGAGGGTATTTAGGGAGCAAAACCTACGTGCAACATGTCATTGGAAGTCAGCAAAAGCACCCTTTCCTTTTGGAATGTCTTGCGCTGCCAGCGCTAAGCTACTCTTCTGATCTCTTCTGAAGGTCCTTGAGACACATCCAAATGGTTTCGTCTAATCCTTTTTGGAAATTCATTAAACTTCGGACTCGGAACATTTATGATCCGCCCCATATTCGATCAACATTTGATCCCCCTCTGTATGCTGTGTTACACGGTACTTACTTTGCATTGTTGGCAACTGATTGCAGCTATGGCTGATAAAACCCAGGAACCCACAGGTTGTAGATGATTCGTTCATTTACAGCTTTGGAAGGTGGCTGATTTTTGAACCACATATTTATGTCAAACAATATCAAGCCCATTCAAAACTCCAATGGTTTCTGGGCATGGCCGGACCCCCGACCCCTTCCAAACCCCGGCCTGCGGTGCCCAGCGCAGCACCGGCCGTGGCACCCAAGGCGCTGGAACGCACATGAGGGTCTTGTGCCAAGGCCTGTGCCTCATCGGCTACAGTCGTTTCGAAACGGGATGCGCTGTGTTGGTTTTTTTTTAAATAGTGGATTGAGAGTAGATGGCACAGACCCCAATGTCGGTGGCTAAAAAACGGCCCCCCTTTTCATTTCGAGGACATCTTGGGGGAAAAGTGCCATCTACTCTGAAACCACTGTATGTGAGTGTGTCAGTAAAATTGGGAGACCTCCCACGCAACGACACCCTGGAAGAAGGAGCATGGACCAGTCTACACATTGGGCCAGGGTGTCCCCCTATTAAAACAGGATTTGCTGTTCAGAAGCCGGGAAAAGATATTCACGGGATTCACCCATAGCGAAAATAAACATCGACTATATATATATATATAGCAAGAAGGTCAAGCCACAAACGAAACGCTTTTTGACCAGAACAGTTTCGACCTTTACAGTCTATGGGATGCCGGTGGCTATGCCTGTCGATGTGGAATAGGAGGCTTGAGCCCTTCGGTTGGTCCACTGTGGGTCCTGTTTCTTGTTTGACCCAGTCCGCTTCCAAGTATGACCCCGCATCCCGAAATCCCCCAACGAGTTCGAGTTCACGAGTTCGGCATGTTTGATCAACCCACCTTCAACTGCACCTGCCCCGCAGCTTCGCGTGTGCTCGCCAGTCGACACCTGGAGATGCTGCATGAACGAATCTTACTAAATGGCTACTAGAACAGCAAGCGGTTTAGGGATCTCCCACGCTGTGCAGTGATTTTTTGTTGATGACACTTGCCGTGATGAGGTATCAAAAGTCCTCACCCTCCATAGTTTGCACACGATTGGTGAGACTATACAGGTTTACACTGACTGAAATCATCATGGAAAATCATGGATGCACCCAAACTTACAGGCGGTTTTCCACGTAACCATGGATGAGTTCAGGCAGTGTATATAATTCATTATAAATCAAGTCCCTAGGGCTCCAAATACCTCCTCAGAAGGTGTTTGGACCCTCCAAACCCACCCCAAACACCTTCGCAGAAGGTGCTTGGAGCCCTAGGGAGTTAACTCCAAAGAACTTCTGAAGGGAAACGCTCCCGTGAGCCCCCATGCATCCGAAGAATCAAAACGACTCTTCACATGGAAGTGACGAAGTGAATAAAGGAGAGCGTTGACTCTTCAGCAAATCCTTAGATCGATTATGATAGATTCGACGTCACATGCAAGTCCGACTGCGCAATAGTTGCGACATCACATGCTTCTTGGGGTGTTATGTAGGTATTTGTGTTTTCTTCGCGTCTTGGTTGGTCAGTGGTCCTCGCTGCAAATCATACTGAAGAATCAAAGTATTGGCAAATATAGCTGGTGAGACCCTGTCATCTCGGTCATGGTTACTAATAGCAAGAATGCTACTATAGTAGTAAGGCCAGGAGTTACTAGTAGCGTCTTTGCTCCTAGTAGCCATTCCCTTTGTTACTAGTAGCAAGAATGCTGATCTAGGTGCGAAAAACAATTGAAGAATGGTAAGGTGGCAAACAAGAACAAGGACTCCTCGAGACTCACAAACTGACCCTACCTGAGAAAGACATCGACATCGACCTGATTGAAAGGTCGACGCGTCACTTTCTCCAAACAAAACATCTCAAATAAACCCCATACACTCCATGTATGCCATATATGCCTACATTGGCCCCCCATGGAGTCATGGAGCGTCTGGGAACCGTATAAAAATAGCGACGGAATGCGACCGAAGGCGACGGAAGGCTCATCCCGAATGCTTCACGCAGCTGTTCACCACATTTCGGACTGCATCTGGGAGTGGAACGCGGCTCGCCACTTGTTCACCGCGAGCCAAAGGAAACACTCATCACAGGCAAGCAGCTTCAGTTGTGCGGTTCTCTAAATCATGGTTCCCGTTTCAGGAAGAGGATCTGAACCCAACCACCTGTTGGCATGTTGGGCGCTTTCAGAAAGCCACCTCGTGACCCAACGAACTCGTCGCCAACGACCTCGTTGCCCACATCGTGCCTTGCCGTCTCTTGCAGCTTCGCCTGGGAGGTCAGAACCGGGGTGAGCTCCCCAGACGATCCCAGAAAGCAAAGACATGAGAGCAGTTGGATTGAGGGTGGAAACGTCTGAGCTGCTCATGGGTGGAAAACTGGAAAGCAGCGAAGTTGTTTCCTCTGCTACTTCGAAGGATCCACCCTGCTACTTCGAAGCCCCATGAATCCTGGATGGAGATACGAGAATGCCGAGCTTTTGCCAAAGCCTTCGTATGAGTTCCAACCAAACAAACCTCTGCACTGGCTTCTGTTGCTGCCGGCGATGAAATCATAAATGCCTCCAACAACTGTGTTCAAGACATAGCTGACCCAGTGATTTTGCCTGCCCAAGCCTAAGAGTCCCCACCCATGCAGTTGGTTCTGGCGCTGCAGGCGATTCGGGCGACGCAGGCACCAGTTTCGCGGGCGGCACAGGGGGCGCAAACACTGCAGGCGCTGCCGGCACCGGCGCTGCCAGCACAGGCGCTGCCGGCACCGGCACCACGGCAGGTTCTGGATCGCTGAACTTCACCTGAGCAAGTCAACCTTGTTGCACTGGTTGCTGCAGTGTGTGTTAATTACACAGTTGTGTGGAGTATGCAAAGACCGAAAAAAAGCCGTTAAAAAACGTCCACTCACGTTGACAGGCACTCAGCAAAGTGACCAAATCCAAGTAGAGTGTCAAATGAACACTCTGTAGGTTCTTAGTACGGGAAAGCACTGCAACCGGATTGTAACTGCAACAACAGTAGATTCCAGGTATAATTAGTAATAGTAGGAAAGCACTGCAAAGAACATCCCGGCGAGATGTTGATCAAACTCCCTGCACAGCCTGGGCCAACCATTTTTTTGCCCCAGAGTGGAGATGCTACAGTAGTTATCCAATATTGAAATAGATTGAAATGTGTACATATACTGTCTAGAACCATCTGCAGACAACCTACAGTCAGAACAGTGAACACTATATAGATTGATCGAAAACGTATTTAAACATATTCAAACCATATTCCAACCCTTCTAACCACTTGGACCCCTACTGTACCAACCCAAAAGCCAATGTTAGCGAGCTTGCCAAACTGTTTGGGCGAATGAACGAAACACATCAAACCCTGGCAGCACAGATTGAAAGAAGTTGTGTTCAACATTGAACTTTGGGTGATGATTTCGTGACAGTTACGGGAATAAGTATATTGTCATCCCCCTTCAAATACCCATGGAGAGGTTGGGCTTTGCCGCTCATTCTATAGAAATGATTTGCGGGAGCCAGAGTTTTAGCATTATACAATGCAAGTGCTCGAGGACACTCACTATAGAATCCAAGGACTGAAACAAAGATTGAGAAACGACAAAGTGCACTACAAAATGGAGGGTCTAACCTCAAGCTCTGAACAATGAGTCATCTATAAACTCTGGCTTTTCATTTTGTAGTGCACCCCCAGGGAGCCAAAAATAAACTTAAATGCAGAATTGTAGTGGCCCTGAGGCCATCCATTCTGTAGTGTTTTTTCCAACGGGGATATTTTGTCTATCTACGCTGTAGGATCCACTGGCCCCCCACAATCTTAACAATAATGAACACAAACATATAATATAACATATACATATATTATATATAATAGATCTACTAATCCTTCTTGGGAACATCATCCCATTGCTAGTAAGAAAGCATGAGGATTCTTAGTAAAGGCCTTTCGCAAAATAGGCGATGATAATATGATAATATGTTACCTATATAATAATTAAGATACAATACACCCGGAACAAATCTCAAAAAAAAGGCTTCAAGACCTGCTGGTGCCTTCAGACCTATCATCATCTGCTGCGCCAGTATGTTTTTTGTTCGCACAACATGGAGGTGATGATGATTTCTGTACTGGCCTCTCTGGGTGACACTTCAACAACATACAAACAACTCCAGCCTCAAGCAAGATATATAGTGTTAAATATATAGTACACCCAGGAAGATTAACATGGCAATGGAACCTGAAAATCGGCCTTTGGAAGACGATTTTCCTCTACAGCCCAGTGGCTTTCAGGTGCCACGTTAATCTTCCGGGGCGTATAGCTCCACCATGTGGGTCGCAATCGCACCACGCTGTGTCGGCGCGTCTACCAACCCGCGCGGGGTCCCCTGTCATCGCCTCTGCCACCAGCGCTGGTGGCGCTTCATCTTTGGGTGGCTCAGCCTGAAGATGCGCTCCGAGCAAGCTGGTGGTTTCAAGAAGGTCTTTTCATGGAGGGTTGGTTCAAGGACACATCTGCCAAAAAGCACAGTATTTAACCGCCCAATTTGATTCTTTTTTCTGGTAGATGTTCTCTTGAATAGGACCGATTCTGTGCTTGTGCTTCATCATGCTTGATGTCTTTTCATCGGACCTAAAGGGATCTGACCAAGACCGCTCACTTCGCTGACATGCCCATGCACAGAGTTTGTGCGATTTTTAGCACAAAAAGCGGATCTAATGAATTTTCAAGACTCAAACTTCCACTTGAGAGTATCAATGGTTGCCCTTCTGCACTATGGATCAAACATGCCAAGTGTCTCGCCCTGACATCCAAACATCGACTGAATCCTCAGCCAGACGTCATGAGATTGGAGTTTGCCCCTTCGCGACCAGGCTAAGCTAGGGCCCCACATGTAGCACTTCTTTTCTGTACATCCTCTGCACGAATGGTTGTCTTAGCTTCCAGGCCAAATGACCGATCTTTTGTCCGGATCCTTAAGGTGGTGGTGATGAATTTGAAACGCAAGGGCGTTGAATGACTGCATGCTTATCAGCTCATACCTCTTCACATAGGCGTTCATTGCATTCATCATCTTATGACGTGAGCAGCCAGGCTCGGAGGTGTTCAAAAGCTGTTCCTTCAACAAAATCTGCTTCACTTGCAAACACAAATCCTGCGCAATCTGCCATTGACCTGGGTATCTATTGGAAAGGAATGCGGTGTGCAGTTTCGCCCGCAAGTCGTTTATGCGGTCTCCATGGTCAGGCAGCAAATCCATCTTCCTCAAGTGATACTTGTTGTCTCTTGCATTTGCAAAGCAGAACATGGCCTCAAATTCATCCGTATTAAAATTGTCATCCAAATACCCCAGCCTTCTCAGTGCCCGCGTTGTCAAGTGCTTTGATTCTTTCAACAAGAAGGGACCACCACCCTTGAAAATGGATCCAGCCCGTGCACTCCCATAGGTCTTTAACCCATGCTTAGATGTTGTAAGTGAAGACCTGGGCAAAAATAGCGCCAATTGGCGACTGTATCTCTTCCAGGAGTGCATCTTTGAAGACTTCTTCATGAGTTTGTACACTTCAAATATCCCAAGATAGTCCGGGTAAACTGTCAACGAACCCAAACGGTTCGTGAACCAAAACTTCGCACACGCTGCAGTGATGTTCAATTCGTCTGTCTGTTGCATATATCCCAAGCGCTCCAACCAGCTCCGCAGTTCCTGTAACAGCTCCAGGTTGCATTTGTTTCCTTCATAGAAAGGATCTGCAAGTTGCACCGAACCTGATCCACTAGCATGTAGGATTGCTCGAACCCGGGAGCCTCGGGGGCGCAGCTCCTTGGGCTTCAATGCAACTACCTTTAATCCCAACTCTCGATACCTTTGTGCCACCAAGTATTTATATTCTGGGACAAGTACTACGAAGCTGAGTCTGGCCTGCCTGGCACTTTTGAGTTGGAGAATCTTGTCCCTATAACCTACATCTGATGTCAACAATCCTATGCACTCGACATCTGGGCAGGTGGATAATTTCAGCATGGTGGACAAAATGGCCTCATCGTTCGGCTCCGATGAGGGATTGCTCGAGCGCGGCACTGGTGTAAATGTGATGTCAGGGTCATCCACAAGTTGACTCCATTTCTTGTTCTTGCTCCTTTCAGGTGGGAGAAACAACTGTGTGTGAACTCGTCCACCCTTCTCTTTCAAGCAACTAATCGCTTGCATGATGTCTTCTATGCTGTGAATATCTGCATCAACAAGGAGTTCTGTTCGCAATGACGAGGCAAACGCCGATGCTGATCTCCTTGACGGCGAGGCCCCACACATCCTCTGCATGATGCTGGCAGCAATCACAAGCCCCGTAAATCTACTGATGCACTCCCCAAACGTCCCTCTGGGCCGAGCACACGCATGAGTAAATCGACCCCAAGAGCCAGGCGTTGGAAAGCTGGAGGAGACTTGCAGTCTCGTAAGACCACGGGTGGCCATCTGACATGGGAACTGGGTCATGAGACTCTGCCTCTGGGACGTCGACACACTTGAAAAGACGTAGAGAAGCGTAGAGCTCTTGAAGGACACTTCAGTTGCGTGGTATATCAGCGAGACCTGGAATTACAGGTAGCCGCCAGCACGCCCATCTGGTGCGGCAAATGCAGCTTGAGCAATGTGGCATGCGTTCCGACTCCATGACGCAAACACCGGGACACTGGGTTATTCATTTGTAGTTGTTCATCTGGGGCACTGGCTTTCAACACCCAAACATGAACAAGTACTTGTTTGAACGATCGACTGAACCATGGCTCCTGAGATTCCAGCATGAGCTGATCAGCTAGGAAAACCCTTGAACAAAGTGATCTGGTACATGGCTTCAACTAAATTGAAACATATTAGTTATAGTCAGTGGATACCAATCGGCCCAGGTCCCAAGTAAAGGTTGCACATAAACCTACCTGAAAGCACCCAGTGGTTCCTTTTGGGCCCACATCACTTGCCACATGCCTCGTGTCCCTGCTCCTCCGACTGTGGCGACTCCTGACAAGTGATGGGATGCAGCGGGGAGTTGACCTTGGTAGAAGATGGTAGAAGCACACCTGCCAAAACAACGGGAACATATGCCCAGTGTTCCCCCTTTGTTCAATTGCTTGGTTTTGAGACCCATCCAGTGTTTGGATCATGGGCACCCCTTAAAACCAAAGAAATGCATCAAGCAGCCAACTCCATGCAACTGCTGGTGGAAAGATCGGTTTATATAGATCAGCTCATCAATGACAACCCACCGATGTGTAGCCACCCGAAAACGGTCCGTCTACTCGGAAGCGACCTGCATGCACTCCGACGGCATGTCGTGCGATGCATGTTTGTTGGCATCAGAGGAACCTGCAAAAACCCTTCGGGGATCGCGTGTAGTGGATAGCTCTGAATTCTAAGGTGTTGGGGAAGTAGGTGCGCCGACCTAACTTCTGAGGTGATGGGATGCCAGGATTGATGCCATTTTTCAGCAAGTATTCCTCGGGCCTTCAAAGGTCGGTAAACCGAGGGACACCAATGGATTTGCTGTTGCCGGCTGTAGCTTTCCCAAGTATGTTGCCTTGCACCAAAGAAGCTGGACGCAGCTTCCATCAGTGAGTGTGGGCCCCATCACTCTCTACGTAAGCCTTGAAACATCTTGTGGCTGTCGCGACATCTAGTGGTGCACCTTGCTACTTCAGCTCCGAGTCAAGAGCAAGTATCAGCAATATTATTTCTGTTGGCTCAGCGAAATGCCTGGGCCTAGTCCACCAAAAAAAGCAAAAAAGCCGTCGGCTCCCACGTCAGCACTGGTTCACTGCATGTATATCCACAAAAGTTTCCTTAAAGCTCCAAGCAAATCGACCAAACCGGGCGTGTCTTACCACTTGTCGCTTGCCCAAAAAGCTTGGTCTTCGACTCTGCAGCTGTCCAAACCCTTGATCCAGGGGGTCCATGGCCTCCGACTCCGTAGACATCGCTTCCCAACACCTGCATTGGGGTGGTATCAGGCTTCAATGACGGTCTACTGGTATGCAAATATGCCATATCATGCCATATATATGGAGTGTCTTGGCTTGACCCATCCCAAGATGTCCCGGTTTTCCCTTCAATCCTCACCCACCCAGCCATACCGAACCGCCTCTCGCCCCTCAGTGAACCACTTGAGCTCGGATGGAAGCCCTGCCTGGCACCGGGGGACGTGCCGATCAAACAAAGCGAACCCACACCAGCCATACCCAAACACGACTCATGAAACTGCCATAGGACTTATATGCCGATCAGGCCAGACTTGGGGCAGCCGGGCATATATGGCATATATATGGCAGTCCCATGGAGCGTCTGGGATATATAGAACTTCCCGAAGTAATCAAGTGGAAAAAACCCTGTAGAGGCACAAATGGCCATCGGTTCCCAAATACCATGCCATCCACTTCCATGATACGTTTCAAGGAGTGTAGCGTCCCAACACTTCCAGAGAGTTTCTAGCCAAGCAGTTTGGGAACTCAGCAAAGCTCCTTTTTTGGTGCTTCCTGGCAAGAGGGGACTCTCAGGAGACACCCAGCCCCTGACAAAAAAGGTGAGAAACATGAAAAAGAACGACTCTCCAGCTGAACATCCTGTTCTATTGGCCTTCCGTCATGTTTCGCCTGTTGCTTCAGCCATCTCACCCAATTGACAACATACTTCTCGCTATCATGTGCGGTGGTGTGGCTCGATGGGCTGACAAAACATCAAGCCTGGCTTTTCAACATCTGCCCATCTTCCATTACAGGATTCCAAAAGGCTGCCTCTCCACAAGAGATTCCACCCTCTGGTGCAACAAGACCCACTGATGCCTGCTCTGGATCCATCTGAGTCCTGGCAAAAGATCCTGAACATCCAACAATGAGTGTCCTGATTCCCCACTTTAAGGCCCATGCGGCCTTTTCAAGGAGCAAAGACCGCCTCACTTGACTTCACCCGGTTTTTCCATGCCGGAGAGGTGTTGGAAAGTTAACCAAACTTTCCACCTGTTCGATTTTTGCGGAAACCTCTGTAATGTATACTACTAGTAAGGCACTTGTTACTAGAAGCGATGCCAGGAGCCCCTAGTAGCTTCTTGTTACTACTAGCTTCTTGTTACTTATCTATCCACCAAAAAGGCTAAAGGTTTTCCACTTTTCCTGGGTAGGTTCTGGGTCTTCCCACTCTTCCAGTGGATCGCCCCTCAGACCTGTCCAAAGTCCCTCTCTTACAGACTTGGTTTTGATAAGCCCAAAGGTTGGCAGCAAGCAGAAACCCCTAAAGCACTACGATCCTGATCTGCACCATCCCAACAAAAACACCGAGCAAAACCCCACGACAGCCCGGTGTTTCGTGCATGAACGGCGGATGCCCCAGCGAACAAAGAGGCCCGAAGCAGTCCGCTTTCTCATCCCACCTCTGCTGGTGGAGGCGCTGGTCGCGGAGCCTCGGGGACCTGCAGTGACAGCTTCCACAGCCCCAAGTCATCGATGAGGACAATCCAAAAGCACAAGATGATCGAGTCTTGATAAGCCAAGTTATACAAGAATCAGCTCATGACTTCAAAATCATATCTCAAAGAAAGGTAATCACATGTTCAATCCGATTTTGTCTTACAAAACAATACTCCAAAGATTTCCAAAGGACCACCTACAGTGGACCCTGTAGGCGAAGATTACCTCATTGCACGTAGCTGTGACCTGAAAAATTTGGCACGGCAAGGGTTGGTTTTAAATGGTTCTTTGTCCTGGCTCGAGGAAGGCTGAACGTGCTGAAGACCTCTTTTGCTGGGTTCTACACAACCATGTCTTCGTGACAAACATCAACCCAACCCAACCGCCCAATCCAAACCAACCAACTCAACCAACCTTTTTGAAGCTCAAAACTGGCAACCTGTGGCAATGCGACTCCTCTGGCCTCCTCGAGACCCGAATGGCTCTGGCGGCGCTTCCAGCCCTTGCAGAATCTTCCCGATGGGGAGGACATTTGTGAAGCAAGATGATGATGATGAGGAGGAGGATAATAATGAGGATGAGGATGAGGATAAAAAGGAGGAGGACAACTATTGAATGAATATAACTTACGAATACTTACGATATGGTTGTGATGACTATGATTGTGGTGATCATTGTTGATCGTGATGGAAATGCTGATTCACCTCACCAACCTGCCCCCTGCCCCTGTGGTTTGAGTGGCTCCTTTGACATGATGAGGCCCAAGGAAGACCTCGACCACCAGCATGCACACATGTGCACAATCCACCAAGCCTTTACTCAGGATAAAAAGGGCTTGGGCTGAGCTTGAAGACCTTCCCATCTGTTTTCACATACTCATCTAGTTTGGGCTCCTGCGAAAGTTGCGTGAGCCATTCTGATCCTGATGCCAGAAGGCACGGAAACTTGGGAACAACATCCTCTACCAGGGGTCACAAAGGGGTGGTGTTTGGTCCCTAAGTGAGTGGATAATGGGCACCCCTAACCTCCAATAGGCACCCCTTTGTGACTCCTGGTATGGTCTTGTTTTTGGCCACTAATTGTCTCAGTTCCAGTCGGGGAAAGCATCAGCACCTTGCTGCCATCATGGTTCCATCTCTCAGTACGTACATCTCTTTTCGGCTTGGCAAACTTGTCCGACACCGGAAAACTCCAGAATAGGAGGTATGGTGCTGGTATGTGGATTCTTCTGGAAGGTTTAAACTGCCAAAAAGAGGTCTTGCTGGGTATTGCACCTGAAATATCGAGATGCTGCCTGAACGCTCAACCTCTCTCGTTCTCTTTCCTGTGCCAGGTCTGTGCTACCGCGTCCGCTCCACAGTCACTGATTCACGAGTCAGCGGTCGCGACCAGACAGGTCTCCACAGTTCTAGCGGGCAATCCCAAGGATCCAGCGACTGGCCAGGGTTATTTGCAGTTTCTAACCTGAAAACATAGGTCCAGGTCAGAGCAGCTCTTGGCAATACCTAAGATATGTTGGGGGCATTGAGAAACAGCTTGTGGGGAAATTCCCCGTAAACAGTTGGACCAACACCCTCAAACAAGCAAGAGCCAATTGCCAAGTCTTCGCTCTCAAAGCCGAAAGCCGGCAGAGTTTGTCTGGGACAACACTCATTGAAAGCATTCATGGGGAGACGACCGCACGAGCATCTGCTCCAAACAGAACGGTACTACTGTATAATGTGATCCAATACTTTGTCAGCTGGTAATAAACTCAGACCCTGAGCTAAAGTGAAGATTGGACCAACAAACGCAGGACAAGAAAGGTTTCCCAAACAAAGGTGGTTGTCCTGCAAGATGGCGGGAACAATCCTACGACTCTGTGACCGTCTATGACCATCTATGGGCCAAAATATCTGACCCTCTGTTCTTGTTCCGCGGTGTGTCCTTTTTTTCAGGGGCTCGCGAGCGTCTCGCATGCCTCGCATGTCGCTTGTTGCTGCTGTGACGGTGCCGATCAGGAGTGGTTGACCAGGGGTCAATGTTGCCGTGGAGTGGAGTGAAACACATATTCCATACCTGGCAAATACTATGCTACCAGTATGTTTGTTTTCATACATGCTTGTTTTCAGGGGTCATGTATGAAAACCGCGCATGGAGTGTTTGGGAAAGGCAGAACAAGTGCAGCCCAGCGTGGACAAAGCTCATGTCATCCCGATGTGTTTCTCGTGTGACGCCTCTGGACAGTGTCCAATCACACCTATACCAGGGGCCCCACAAACTATCAAAAACCTGGTGTTCCCTAGCAAAAAACATGGTTTTTGTATGCGAACACCTGTGCTTTTTCATGGTTTTGAGGGCCCCTGGTAATGGCTATAACCAAAAAAGGTGACACTCGCGTGGGGTGTCCAATTACCAAAGGGTGCGACTGAACTGCGATCAGGACGAACGAGACGAATTGCTTCGGCTTGATGACGGCTCAGGGCCCCTGAGGGTTGCGGCTAACACGGAATCAACTGTTTTCAGCATGAAGGCCACATGAATCGAAATAGTGAGTCTTCATGTACAACAAAATTTGCCGCATCGAGTTTAACTGACTAGTAGGTGAATCAACAGTTTCTGGCAGTGGAGCCGAACTAAGCTCAACCAGACGAAGTGATCGCTCCCAAAAGAGCGTTGTGGCAGAAGAGACCAGGCGCCCTAGCAGCATTCCTGTGCAAAAAGGGACAGTGGCCAAGCAGTGCCCAACACTGACATCGCGCATGGCATGTCTATTGGCGATCTGAAGATCAAGCTGACAGGAAGAACCAATGCGGGATAGCGTTTGAATGCGCTTCAGTGCGTTACACAACATTGTTTTTTTGGAAGGCACATTGACCCAGTCCGTGCTCGCCCACGAAAAAGTATCAGCGCTTCGCCTTCGCCGAGTCCAAGCGTTCGAGTTCTTTTTTGTGCGAGTTCTCGCAGCAAAAAATTTGATTGTAAACCCGTGGGAACCCTGCATAGTTTGCACACGTTGAGAGATATCCCCCACCCAATTCCAGAGAATTCACACATTTCTTGGCGCAAGAGACTTCTTCAGTTCGCCGTCAGGCACAGGCGACCGGTGCTGTTCACGTGGATCATGGTGAGCAAATCCAACCTGGGATGCAAACGGGAAGACTGAAGCAAGGGCCATCGAGAAACTCGCCCCATTGCCAGTGCAACTGAAGATATGTTCTTTCCTAAACATATATATATATATATATATCAGGGGTCACAAAGGGGTGGTGTTTGGTCCCTAAGTGAGTGGATAATGGGCACCCCTAACCTCCAATAGGCACCCCAGGTCAGTTTTGGAGTTTTGGAGGGCCTCCAAAAGTCCAAAACTCCAAAACTGCACAGACCTAGGGCCCCAGAGTGGCTATGGTCAGGTCATGGGGTCTGCAGTTTTGGAGTTTTCGAACTGTGGTTTTCTACAAGAACTGTTTATCTACAAAAATATGCATAAAACGCCATAAATATATACAAGTACCGTGAATTTGATGAGAGGTGTTTTCTTTTTTGGGGGGTACTCTATATATAATGTATAATATATATATATATTGTGAGGTTAACGGGTTCGGAAGGCAACAGTTTGGTGTCCGTTCAGTTTCTTCATTGGAAACAGGTGACCTGAACTGAAGATGTTCATCATAACAAGCCGCTAAGCTTGGTCGATCCTTTTCTCAGGATCTCTTCATGCCAAACCACGTAAATCCACAACATGAGGTGACCAACCAACCTTAAGCAACACAAAAAACACCTCTGGCTTATGATGGCCTATGAAATGACCAGAAAAGAAAACCGCTCTGTGCTTTGTGTTTTGTTTGATTGAGCAGAAGGAGTGCTTCGAAGCACTCGGTCTCCGCCTCGACCCCGAACGAACCACACAGGGCATCACAGGGCAAAGCAAGCCAATCCCAAAGGGACAACCGTCGGGGCACAAAGGGGAGGTGGGAAACAATAACACCATCTATATGTCACTTCTGTGTGGCTGGTAGTGTGTGGGTTTTTGTTTTAATTGTGTTTCTGTTCTCTTATGTTATGTAATGTTTTTGTGTCAAACACGCTTCTCTATAAAACTGCATTCCAAATAAATTATCTTCGGTGACCCAGGATGACCAATTTGAAAAGGACCTGCTCTACAAAATGCCATGTTCAGGCTTTGGCCTTGTTCTTCTAGGGTACCCTCACGGTCGAACGGGTCCTATTTTGTAGATGTCAACGCTTCCCAGTGCTCTGTGCACCTGGTATATCATAATGAAGTATCCCTGTCCCCATCTCTCACCTCTTACCAGTGCCTGTTGTTTTTTGCAACCCATCGCCGAAATCCGACGACAAGTCATTGGGCATTTGGCCTGGAATGCCCCCGAGATGTCCAGGTGTCAAGCACCAAGGCCTTCCCTCGAAAAATGGGCTCCACTTCCGTATAGATGAAACCCGAGGATCGCGGCCCTGACGCAACTTGACCACTTAAAACAGCTAGCAGCTATAGACAAAAAAAGAAACACACACAGGCCTGAAATCCAGCATTCCCTCCAGGAGACTAAAATTATCACCCGGGGCCCACGCCTCTCGCGACGATCTCCCCATTTGGAGAACTACACAGCTGCAAAAACGTCAAGGTCCGTCACATCTGTTCAGAATGAACTCTATTTAGTCGGATCCAGGGAGTAGCAGGCAATCGGTTTTGCTGGGGATGGTGTTTCCAGAAAGCTGGGTGACATCTTTTGGGTGAAATCTCTTGAACACCCCAGGACCAGAACGTTTGGGACCTTTTCCAATGAGCCTCGGGGCAAAGTCTCCTGCAGATTGCCGGCTGGTCCGTATGGCTGGAAATGGCTGGAACTTGCTCCCTTGTCCCCATGAAGAGATTTGCACCACCCCAAAAGAGAATGCCCAAAACCAACAAACAATGCACATATGATGCAATTGAATGGATGGAATGACCCCCCCAGCTTAGGGCTTAGGGTTCCCCTTACCCCTCGGACCCCTCTCGAGGCGCTCCAAGCGCATCAATCCGTGATTCATCCCAAGCAACTCATGTCATAGACTGGCCCATCATTCGTCAACGCAGGCCTCAGTCGTTCTTTGCGCGCTCTTTGGCCCCGAGTCCGAGTGGGAGAGCCAGTCAAACACAGCGTCATCAATGCGATGGGTCAAAAGCTGGCCGTAAATGGGGGCATGCTAAACGAGGAGGCATTCCCCCTTCATGGGCATGCCTCGAATTGGAGGCATGTCACAAATTAGAAAACGTTGCGGTGACTCACATGGAATCAGGAACCTAACCAATTCAGACCCAGTTTCGATGAGGAAACCCTCCGCAGGTTGGGCTGGTTTTAGAGAGAAAAAGGTGCCCCTGGCGGCCCACCCTCCTCCAGCAACCAACCACTGGCAGAAATAGGACAGTCCAAAGACCCCCTGGGTTCAGTTCGGGAAATAGACCAATCTACCCATTGGTTGAGGTCTCCCTCTTTTCATACACACCCACAGCACCGACATCTTTAAAGTAGATGTGGCGTTCGAGGGTGAAACTGACCACGGGGTTCACCAGAATGACCTGCGAATCGATCGGTCTAAAAGCTGTGAGAAAACACTCTATCCCCAGAACCGTGGCAGGCATCTTGTGGAGAACACCAGAAAATGAGACCCAAACACTTCCTTAATTGACCGTCGAACATGTTCCACGTCGGTCAATACGACACACCTGGCAGTGTCTGGGATTGATTTCTCAGGCTCCATGCAGTCAGTCCGGCGCTTTGCGAGCGGCCGATTGGTTCGCTTTGTCGGTCGCCCGATGTCGCCACTTGACGATCCGTCAAACACGGCGCGTTTTGCTGGGCGTTTCGGGCACATCCAGCTTCTCGCTGTCCATGATTTTGAAGTGGCCCTTGATCTTCAGGGCTTCGCAACCTCGCGCGAGCAGCGGAGGGCGTAGCGCCATGGGCTGGGCCTTTCAGCCAATGCGCGAGCCGATTGCGAGCAGCGGATGGAAGAACTTTAGACTGTAGGAGTGAAGGCTTTAGCACTGTGATTAAATGAAGCCTTACTTGGTGTCAGTCCACTAGAACATCATCATCCTAATGAACTTCTGGGCGGCCCTGGGACACAGCTCAAGTCAGGAAGTCCAAAGTAGCAGTCACTTCCCCGAAAACCAATGATTGCTTTGTCTGCGCTCCCAACACTTTGGTTTTCCATCTCCCAACAAAAACAAACCAAAGTGTTGGGAGCAACCAAAAAGCCACCAAACAACAAGACAAACCAAAAAGCAACCAAACCAACTGCGGAAACGAAGACGACTGTGTTTTCGCAAACCAAAGACGACCGTGGTGGAAAACCACCGGCGACTTCATGGGCTGTTGGCGTTGGGCAGAGGAAAAGAAGACTTGACGCCAATGATGTCCTTTTGGGACTTAGGAAGGTCAGTGCCAGTTACAGTGGTTTCAGAGTACATGATGATGAAGCAAACCCGTACATATCATTTTGGGGATTGTGCCATCTACTCTGAAGCCAATTTACTATAGACATCCACAGACCCTTTGAGGGTCTCCCCTCTATTCAACAAACCAGGGCTGTAGCTCCCATTTGCTGACACGGCAACAACGCCAATCAGGAGTTTGGCACGGCAAGGCAGCTGTGGGTCTTCCTCGTGATCACTAACATCCTGTGTTTTTTCCAGCTCGCACAGGTCACTGCCGCTATAATCTTTCATGATGGAATGTGCATGTTTAACGGTGATCTTCTGCTCTGGGATATTCTAGTAATTAATAAGGGTCGATCATCACATAATGACCTCTGGACACTCCTCCGGACACTCCGCGCGTGCGATTCAGGATCCACCCTCAATTTTCCTGATCACACCAGTTATTATATATTCTGGAACCGACCCGAAGGGCAAGGCCCCGAGCGCCGTGCTTTCGAGAGCTCGCCTGTTTCCCAGTTCGCGAGCCAAATGCCTCAGCTGGCGCCCAGTTTTCCACCGGTTTTCTACCAGTGGGACGGTGCCGGTGGGACGGTGCATGTACTCCGCACGTTCGGTCAGTGTCTGGCATGGAACCTTTGTGTGTCTGTGTAAACTGTAATACTTCATGTACCCGTATGTGCTTGGCATCTGTCTCTGCCAGTCACTGCTCCACATGAAGACTGTGATGTGTGTTTTTATTCTTTTATATGCAAGACTATTTGAGTTCTCCCGTTTTACCTTTGAAGTCTTATGTTCTGATATGATGATAGGACGCAACACCTCACCAAAAACATACAACACCTCAGTTATCCTCAGTTCAAAGAGTCATGGTTTGACGCTGTCTGCAAAACTTCTACGATCACAGAGTTCACCTTCTACGAGAACTCTGACCACCAGAAACTCCTGAGAATCACCCTGTGAAACCAAACTAAATGTAGACACATCATGACACATACATCTATATATATACCCTTGTGTCCTTGTGTGGGCAAAACAGCAAAACATGCCAAACTTCCATAGATCGACATCCATAGAACAGAGTATGCAATCCCACTGACTCACTTTGGCTCCCAAACAGCCCAGATGCCAAACAAACCCATTCACCACTTAACTTAGGGTTCTGGAATGTTCTGGACTTATGTCTGTGTAGTATAGAAAAGGATGAGTTCACTGCAAACCTTATCACAATTTAGAGCCGTGGCCAGTGGTTGCAAAAGGAGGGTTGCACATGGTCGCTCTGCAAGAACTGCTTGCTCGAGTAAATTGAGGGCACGTAATTATTAGGCTGAATTAATTCAAGTATAATTACACACAAGCAACATGATGTTTCCTTTACTATACTATTAAAAACTTTTGACCATATGGGGGTTGTCCAACAAAGCTCTTCTTTTTGAGCTTGTATCGCCGGCCTTTCGCGACCCTTTCGCGTTTGCAGAAAAACCACAGGTTTTCCTTTCGCGCATTGTGATGAGCTTGTTCCATTGCACTGAGTTCACAGTGTTTGGACATCTAAATCCCTTTTAGTGCGCTGAGAAGCAGGCTAATTACCCTTTGTCAATTCATACTTGAAACAAAGGTTTCAAGGCTTATTTCAAGGCCATGGATGGGCAAATGCCCTTCCAGGCAATGCGCTCTTTCGCGGGCCTACCGCCGGCCTTTCGCAGCCCTTTCGCGAAAATCCGTGTTTCTGTTCGGGAAAAAGGATGTGTCATGTATTATGCACATTGTAAGTCTAGGTTGGCACATGTCTTTCGCTGTCCTATCGCCGGCCTTTCGCGGACTGCAGTTTCCCTTTCGCGACGTGTTTGTTTTAACAGTTGATCGAAATTCCTTCACTGGCAATAACGGACGGCCCTCATATGAAATGATCCCCACTCAACCACACAGGGCCCAACATCCACGGTAATAGGTCCACTCTTTGTTTCGCCAGCCGCTCCGCTGCGATACCGCTCTACCCGGCCGCTTGCTCCGCTTCTCCAAGTGACCCACGGCCACTGGGGTGTAATAGCGGGAACTATTGGCTCCATAAAAGTCAAAGCGTTGCCCTGGAGGAGCCGACGGATCCAGATCGAGGCCGACGGATCCAGATCGAGGCCGACGGATCCAGATCGAGGCCGACGGATCCAGATCGAGGCCGACGGATTTGAACGAGATGAGAAGGGTGAGAAGGTTGATGGGAGTCTTTGAATTGGTGGAGCCACAGTGTAGTTTTTTTTTTTTTTTTTCAGGTGATCTGTAAACAAGCTACAGTGTAAAGAAGGAGATGGGATTAATTGGGCGGTAGGGCGGTAGGTGTCCGATAGTATTCTCCATTTCTACATGATCCACGATCTGGGTAGGGTACCATTCCTCAGAAACAATGGCGATGTGTCTCACCCCGATGAGTGTGAAGAAATCGGACCTCTAAAACACAACCAAAAGCACCCTTGGTCTAAGCTAGCAGCGAGCAAAGCTAGCAACGCCCGGTGAGGGGTGTTCCATGTCGAGCATCGTTTATCATCGTTTCAACATGGTTCAACTAGTAGCTAGTGCTCCAAGTCACTTTCTGGACTTGACTTGTCGAGGAACCTGTCTTTGTGATGGCTCCAACACACTCGCAACAATGTGAATACCTTGGGTCGATCCTATTATTGTCAGTAACAGTGGATGATGATGCTTGGTCAAGGATGGTAAAGGCCTTGTTCAACAATAGTGATTTGCAATTTTACCGACTGTTACAGGCAATAGGACAAACCCAATGAATACCTAATCCGCCACGCTATCACCCAACTAACTGATGACTGAAAGGTGGAACTGAATGAACTGAATGAACCCGCCAGTGACAATGCACGAGCGAGAACGGGCATCCGAGCCTTTGGATGAAACTTTAAGATCAGTCTGAATGCTCAAATCGCTGATCCCCGGCGGTCCCACACCCAAAAACAAAAAAAGAAACAAAACATTACACCGGCAAGGGACCCCAAATAGTGTAAAGAGGAACACATGGAACATGACATCACGTGGAAGGAAAGAAGGAGCACAGAGATGAAAGCACAAAGATGAGAGGAGACGGACAAGAGCACAAATGTGAGAGTGCACAGATGAGAGCAGCAGATGCGGAAGCATGTGAAAGACCAGGGGGACCAGGTGTGAGGTTATAAGAAGGAGAGTGCGAGCAAAGTAGTGCCAAAAATGCTAGGGAGTAGTATGGCTTGAAGGTCGTTGTAAAACAAAAAGCTACGACTGCAGACGCGCATGTTTTCCGCGGTGGCAAGCTGCGAGTGCGTGCGAGTCCGAGGCGAAGGGCCGCCCCAGCGCAACCGCATGGGACGAGGTGAAGGATGCAACTGTCAGCTGGTGGAGGACATCAGGACGCAAGCCATGCATCATACTCGGCATCCACGCGGCACCAAAGAACCCGGCCGCCGCGCGAAACGGGATTGGCGGCACGCGCCTCCAAAAGAGTCAACAGCAAGGGGGCCAGGTATTTGGTTCCATGTTTGAGCAGAGCCTTCACCCACACGGGGTTGCCACAAGTGCGTTTGAGGTAGGCAAAAAAATAGCCTCGCTTCGTGACGCTATTTTGATGCCACTGGCGGGGCGTCAACTCCGCCTCACACCATGCCCGTTGCCAATGGAGCCAGGTCGTGGTGAACATAGACTCCGACATGCGCTCAGAATCCGCGCACCCGCAAGATTCCAGAGCGTGTCGACGCACCCAAAGAGGGAGGAGCAAGAGCATGCGGAGGCGCTGAGGCATGTCCAGCGGAGGTAAAGCCGGATCGATCAAAAACAATCGCACTGTGTCCGCCAAGTCGCGCACGGCCGGAACCGTATCCGCGATGTCGCGGAGGCGTTCATGGAGAGTAACGAGAGACAGAGTCGCTTGGTGCACTTCCTGCGTAACCTTGCAGGCAAAATTCCATCTCTCCTCCGCCTTAGCAGGACCATAGTACGCGACAAAATCGGGCCATGTATACTGCTGCCCGTCGACAGACCAAGCCCAGGCCAAAGGGAAGCTGGTGTAGGAAGGAGGGGGGAGGGAGAAGGCGCAAGACATCTCGAGGCGCCACAGCGCGGCAGGTTGCCAAAGCTAGCAGCTCTGCGCGCAAAGGATGTATCTCCTCGCCCTCAGTTTCTGGCAGATCGGCCGTCGCGGTACCACGCGCATCCGCAGCGGTAAGCGGCGCAAGAGGAGTCACAAACGCGAGAGCGCTAGAAGAGTCGGGACTCGCAACGAAGTGGACACTGTGCGCGGGGTCAGCGGCAGGCGGAGCCGCATCCGCAGTACCATGCGCATCCGCACTGGGAGGCGCGTCTGCAGAGCCAGTAGGAGTTGGAGGCGTCGGAGGTGGTTGTGGAGGGCACTGTGAGAGAGGAATCGGGCGCGGAGCGGGCGCAACCGCACCGCAAGAGCCAGTAGGAGACGGCGGCGGTGCGGGCAGAGGCGCCCGCGTGGCCGGGCTTGGTAGCCAGGGAGCGGGCCAATCCCGACAGCCAGAGGTACCAGGAGACGCAGGTGGCATGGACACAGGCATCTGCGTGTTTTGGGCTGGTACCCGGGTAGTGGCAGGAAGGGCGCTGGTGGGAGGAGCGGGCGCAGCCGCACCGCCAGCGCGGAGTGAAGGAAAGAAAGAAGCTGGTTCGGAAGGCTCCCGCAGGCGACGACGTGGAGGAGATCCCTCGGGGCCAATCTGCGTGTCGCGGGCTGGTTGCTGCGTATCGGCAGGAATGGAGCCGGAGGGAGTAGCGGGCGCAGCCGCACCGCCAGCGGGGAGTGGAGGAAAGAAAGAGGCTGGTGCGGAAGGCTCCGGCAGGCGATGACTTGGAGGAGGTCCCTCGGGGAGAAGAACTTCCGCGAGCACGACATTGTGGGCATCGGAAATGCATTCGCGATGGAAGAAGCGCCCGACGCGGCAGGGCAGAGGCTGAACAGGAAGGTCGGGAGAATGAAAGAGAAGATCGGCACCGGCAGCACCTGAGTCTGCGACGCTCCCAACCCGAGCGTGTTGTTCGACTTTCCATCTTTGAATGTTCAAATCCCCGCCTGTGATCCATGGAGGGGGTAAGTCTGCCATCCATTCCACGATGCGCTTGCGAACGGAGTCCTTGAGGACATGCGCCTTCGAAGACCGATTGTGCAGATGCACGACCGTGATCGGAGAGAGCTGGCACGGCGCAGCAGCAGGGAGGCATTGATACATCTGATAAGTATGCGGACGACCAGCAGCTGTGGGGCGCACAAGGAGAGGATGGAGTGAAGGCGCGGTGGTGAAGTGCACCAACTGCGCGCGCCAAAGAAGAACATAGTTGTCCTGAAAGAGGATGTTGCAGGAGGAGCACCCTTCTTGCAGGCGCATCCGCACTGCTGGAGGCACGCTGGCACCATGGCCTCCGCACTCGCAAAGATGCAGTATGGCGAGATCTGGAATGTCCGAGAAGATTCTGCAGCACGCCCATCGGGAGTGTGTTCGCATTCTTTCAAAAAACGTATACATACACCCATCAGTTCTGACTTTGCTGCATCGACCGAGCGCTCGGTACCTCTACCGGCAACGCGCCGCGCCACGCCCCAATCACGGAAAACAGCCCTGCATCTTGATTGGCTGGTCTCACCAGGCCCCAAAACAAGCAAGAGTTCTTTGATCCTTCCAGCTTCCTGCGCTGCCACAAAGACGTCACCAAAGGAACGAAGCTCAACGTGCGTCTCCAACGATGCATATTGGAGCAACGCTTCAAACTTCACGGGTGGCAACAAATTCAAAAGCTTTGTCTTGACGAGTTCCCGGAGTTCCTCCTGGTTCAAACGCATTCCATTTCGTTTTCCACGGATATCTGCAGTCTGGCAGGCTTCACGAAGGCCCTTTGTGTTGGAATTGAGACCCTGCAACAAGGCCTTGCACTGTGCAACCACAAGCGCATCAGTGACAACGCACGACCCCAGATGCTCCAAGTCACTACGCACAGACGCGGATACAGCACCCAGTAAAACTGCGAAGGTGACGGCGGCCATGGCTGGCCAGGTGGTTTGTCCTAATATCTATAAAAGTGGTGGCGGTGGAGGTAGTGGTGCTGGTCATGGTACTGGTGGTGGTGAAGGTGGCGCTGACGGTGGTGGTCGAGCCAACAACTTCCAAAACGGCAAGTTCATTGAAATTCAAAACCCTTCAAGAACATCTGCACATCGAGATTCACGAGCACACATATGAGAGCATATGGGAGCACATATGAGAGCACATGAGAGCACACATCTGAGAGCACAAATGTGAGAGCACATACAAGCACCACTCTGAGAGCACACAGGCAAGTACATAGGAGCATTTCGAAGTTCACAATGTACCGCGCCTGCCACGAAATCTGCACATCGAGGTTCACAAAGTACTGCGCCTGCCACGAACTCTGCACATCGAGGTTCACAAAGTACTGCGCCTGCCACGAAATCTGCACATCGAGCTTCACAAAGTGCTGCGCCTGCCACGAGATCTGCACATCGAGATTCACAAAGTGCTGCGCCTGCCACGAAATCTGCACATCGAGATTCACAAAGTGCTGCGCCTGCCACGCACTCTGCACATCGAGATTCACAAAGTGCTGCGCCTGCCACGAATCTGCACATCGAGATTCACAAAGTGCTGCGCCTGCCACGAAATCTGCACATTGGAGATCCAAAATGAGCAAATTGCACGAGGCTTTCGCAAATTTTGACATGCGTTTCAGAAATGCTGTGCCTGCCACGAAATCATGCCTGCAGGTCATACGAAATGCTGCACTGGCCACGCAAAATCATCCTCAAGGTCCAAGTCCAAAAATGCAACCCCTCTCACGAATTCAGCCCTTTCACCTCAAAATATCGCATCCATGGTGCGGATTCCCTGCGCCTGCCACGTGAAACGCAGTCCTGCGAATGACACACGCCTGCCAACGTTTTTGCAACGTCCACAAAACACTGCGCCTGCCACGAAATTTGCAAAGTCTCCGATTCCTTGCACCTGCCACGTAAAATGACCTTTTCGAGGCTCCAATGTGTCGAATTCCTTGCGCCTGCCACGCGAAATTCACTTTAGCTCCGAAAACGAGCACGGCACCTGCACGAGAGCAACGCCCCGGAAGCACGAAGACCGCGGCCCCCAATTTATGCGAGCCTGCGCAGTCGAAATGGACATGAGGAATTCAAAAAGTAACTTTTGTGCGAGCCGGCCCACGCAAAATGCCGCAGCCACAAACGCGAACCCTCATCTAACCCTGCTTAACTCTCACCGTAAGAACCCCTTAGTGCGGAGCACTATTTGGGGAAAAAAAAAACAACCAAAAACCCGACCTTCGGCGTGTCCCACCACGCGAACAGGTTGAGCATTGAAAGAACTTGGAGCCCATTGGCAAGCCTCACTCCAACGACTTGAAATGTGGAGAATAGTCAGAACGCCATGTGGAGCTGTTGAAACAGGTGTTCGACGCTGTCTTTGGGTCAAGACATCGCAGCCGCAAGAGAGTGTTGAGCCCCCAAAAAATGACTTTTTCCAGATCTTTCAGTCTTTCATGATCGTTTTGTTTTAGAAAAGCCTTCATTGTTTTGTCAGATCCTCCAGAGCCCTTCAAGGACTCATGAAATAAGCAATGTCTTGTTTGACCGCCTAATATATTCCTTTCAAAGGAAACGAGCGCAGCAGTTCATGTCGTCCCATGCCTTTGTCGCCCCCGCCTCGTAACAGCGCCCATAACGGCTGAAGGGCGGGGCCTGCCAACAGGACAGCTCAGCCAACAGGATGGCTGCTTGGTTTGGACGAATTCTTCAATTCCAAGATGTTGTGGCTAACAAACGTGGCGAAGGCTACCGGCTCGTCCATCTTCAGGCATCTTCAGGTTCAAAACGTGGAGACCGCGGTCTCCATGGACGAATTGAAGCTTATGGACGAATTGCTTACGCTGTTCCGATGTTCGACTCTCTTGTAGAATGTCTGGAAACATGACCATCATGACTCTTGCTGTAGCAAGCAGTTTGGGAACTCCTGTAGCTCCTTGGCTCCTTCATGGCAAGAGGAAAATGCGGAGCCCGGAGACCCCTTCCGATTTGTGGTTGGTTGATATGGACATGTTTGAAGCATTAGGGTGTTCAACTGGGTGTTCACTATTGAAGTGGCCATTGCAGGTTTTGATGATCTGATGTGGCCCCCATAGAATGGCAAAGCGTATCATTCAGTTGGGCCAAGAAACCCACCGGTTGCTCAAAGGCGATTGAAACCAAAATGGGCTATAATCATGGGCAATCACAGGAGCGACAGAACGCGACGTCCAAGCACCGAAAAGGATGGAACCAACTAAATGACATCTATAGATTGAGGATCTTCATCTCGATGAAGAAAATCATGCTGCATTTTGCCCCAAATTGGCAATGTTTTCAGAATTTCAGTGTCTCTGAACTAATTTGCCCACTGCAAAAGAAATACGAAAGCCACCAATTTCAACGAAACAAACAACAAAATCATACAACATAACTAATTAAGGTTCAGTGATTCACTTCTAAAACAGCGGTTGTGGGGGGGTTCTTTGGCCAACTGCTCTTCAAAGGCCATGGACTGTCTTCAGCTATGAAAACCACCAAAAGGCTGGGTGTCTCAGATGTTGTGAAGAACATCCCCTCTTCCAGGACCACTTCTCACCAGAACTTGTGTACCGACCACTTTCATGTTTTGCACCAGTGTTCTGGTGTTCTGGTGTTCTCCAAAAACCACACCTTCACCTCTTCGATTCTCTCACCGGAAATACCCCTTCGCTCCTCAGTGCTCAAAGGCGTCTCAAAGCGGCTATCCCGGAAGAAGAGCTTCGAGAGCGGATTGCGCGTCGCAGAGAACTGAGCAAAACGTGGTCCCACAGCGGTCCCAGGGTCCCACTCAGTGGAGGCCATGTCACTAGTAACAAGAAGCTAGGAACAAAGTGCATCGCTACTAGCAAGTGCATCGCTACAACGTAACAAATACGTACCCAATTTCATGGCCTAATCAGCTGATCCCTTGGCCCCCCTCCGACGTGTCACACGTCGGAGCCCGGAGAGGCGAAGCCAAGAGAACATGGGCCATCAGATGAGCGCACTGGCACCAGAAGATGTCTTTTATATAGGGGATCCATATAAACCACCAAACTTGGGAGATTGGTGCCATCTATTCTGAAACCACTGTACAATGCAGGCCCAAAATGGAACTGATGCAATGACCAGCACGTGGAGCCCAAAATTTGACCCATCCCCTTCAACAGCTATATATTATATAATTGCAATTTCCGATCAAAACTGTGGTCCAACCAATGCACCAACCGAGCTGGGGTGTTTCCTTCCATTCGATTCCCCTTCCGGAAGGAGATTATCAAGCAAACAGAAACCACCCTTGAACACAAACACACACACACATGCAGTGTGCTTGTCCGTGCTTGTAATTAGGGGTTTGATTCATATATATATATATATACATTTGCCGTGATTGATTAATTCTTTGTGTTCTTCATCAGCGAGCTTCATTCTTGGACATGGTGTCCATTGTCCCTCGTCTTCGTCTGATACCATTCGCCCCTGAGAAATTGGGTGTGTCAAACACCTCTGCGTTCAGCGGCCATGTTCACGGTCCACTTGATGGTCGTTGGCATATACCAGGATGGATACCTCGAGAGGCTCGTCGGTGTCGATGATTTTCCACTTCCACCCAAACGACCCAAAGACGTTCCTTTGGTAACTAATCCAGGACCATCCTGTTTGGGTGTCCTGCCTGGACTGCACTACTATCCGGGATTTCCAGCCAAACAGGATGGTGGCTGGTAGGGGTCCAATTTGGTGCCATAGATCCTGTTGCCTATTGATCCTATTGGTGGTTCACCAAAAAACGGGGGTACCTCTTCCATCAATGAGCCAACGTACCCACGCAGGTCAGGCAGAATGAAGGGCTCGGAACTGGAACTCTGGACCCCTTCTCGGGCGCAAAGACCCGCCCCAGAGCCTAGCTCTATTGTAATCGCCTCACCTGGCGACCTGTGGGAGAACTGACCTGTGGATGAGTAGGTACATGTAGGTACAGCAATGCAGTCCTTTGAGTACTTTGGTTCTTTCTTAGGAGCTGCCAGGCAGTCATCCACCCGACCCTCCACCAGGGCACAGGCCGGCGACCCGACCCGTCGTTAAGGTGTAATTGACATGTACAACCAGACGCTCCTAATGCCCAGACGCGACCTGTCTGAGACTGCCATGTCGGACTGCCGCCCCAGACAGACCCCCCAAAGTAACCACCCCAATGTAAGCATATATTCCATACATGGAGCATCTGGGAATGGCTCAGGATGTTTTGTGCTTATCTCCAGTGGTGCGAATACGTCCGGTACTGATCTGGATCAAAAGACATGAAGTCGCTCTCGCGCATCTGGCTCCAGTGACCCTCAGACTATGCATGTCGGTTGGTTGATCAATCTGTGGGCGAATGAAGTCCTTTGGGACGCCAATGCATGGGTTTGTGATGACCTTCAGGCATCACTGAGAACGCGTGACCTTTGTCTGCACCAAGGTTCCCAATGGCACAAACACAAATGATGTGGTCTTTCTCCTGCTCGGCTGCGGCCAAAACGGACCCAACCATTTCTGCCTGACCGCGGTCCGGTGTGTTTGCAAGAGCTGGGACCACATGGTGTTCTGGCACTCAAGAACCTAGCCGAGCCCTTTCCTGAGACCTCCGCACATCGAGCGCAAGATAGCGCAAGACATGCAGAACACAGGCCTGGCAGAGGAACCTCATGGGCCTGGTGTTGGCCATCTGAGAATACAAGCAAGACATAAACAAGACATACCAAGACAACCTTTGTTGGGGCGTTGGGGGTCTTCAAATGGACTACCCCTCCCAAAACCCTGCAACCCATCCGCTCACCCTCCCAGCCAACTTTCAGTCAATGATCAGCTTCATGCTTACGCATCTTACGCCTACACATGTTCATTCACAGTTGATTGCCATTAAACTGAATTCCATTGAAATCCACCCATCTCCAACCATGTCCACATCCATCTCCTCATTGAAGCGAGGGCCTAGCTTCTGTTGGACGCTGCTCTGATCTGCGCCAGGGCCAATCCAACAAGTGGCCAACCCCATGCGTGTTGCATGCCTCAGCGAAGGGGGAAAAAAACAGAACACACACACACAAATACTGTATAGTCTACACTCACAGTGACACTATGTGCCACTCTAACCAGTCTTCGTCCTAAGCCTATCCCTTCGTCCTATCTCGGCCGAGTCGCAAGACCACCTTTTGCAAAGACCGGCCCACGTCCAGCACGGCCAGGCGGTCGTACTCCTTGGGCGCGATGGCCACCAAGAACTCATGGCCTCGCGAACCCATGAACGCCGAACTCGGCGGACGTGGGACGGCCAGGGTCGGTCTAGGACCGTGTAATGGGGGGCAAGAGGGAGCAGTGAGACCAAGTGGAACGTGGAGTACACTCTGACGAAAACATCACATGGTTACGTGGAGTGGAACATGGACGCCTGGATAACCATGTTCCTGAAAGGAACCAGCTGAGTGTCCGCTTCCATGTTAGTGAGTGGGAGGATATCTAAATTTAAAGAGGTGGACCTGGAGCCCAATTCCGACGCGAGAAAACGTTTGGGGACCGATATGTTGGTTGTTTGTTATGTGTTTTTGGTGTTGTTTGGGTCGGTTCTCCTCGGAACCTCTTGGCGCATGTTGATGATCGAAACCCCAAGCCTGGGGGAATCTAAGAAACGCGAACCAAAGCTCTAGATCTTGAACCACTGGTTGCAGATCTATCGGCAACTGGGATCCACTCGTTGTTCCAACCTCAACAGCATTCCGCATTCTCCCTAGGTCTCTAACTACCTCCATTTCGAAGGTGGTTTGGGGTGGGAGTGTGGGGGGGAGTCTAACCACCTGATCCGAGGTGATGGGCCGTGCGGAGGGTCTATATGTTCGCTACGAAGGGAACAAGTGCATCGCTTCTAGGAGCAAGGGCCTTACTAGTAACAATGTTTGCCCCACCCGCGGAGCTCACCGTTCATCCCTCCATCCGTTTTTCACCGCTGGCACGAGGATAAGGAGGTTGAGTGGTAGAGGATGACATCCAGTGCCATGATGAATTAAAGTGATGTACCCTCTGAGCAACCTGAGCAGTTGCTCAGTAAACAAACCGCTTGCACCCGAGGTTTTTCGTGCTTCCGTGACAAATCTAGGCCTCCGGGCAGCCGACTACAGGCCAGACCGTGAGAGGCTCTCGGATGTACTCCAAACGAATCGGTTTGGATCCTGGAGTTGTTGCGGAGAATCTGAGGGAAGACCATGTCAGGAGAAGGCTCAGGTTGTTTTGGTTTTCTGGAAATGGTGGGTAGGAAATTACTGGAGGAATATAGGGAATCAGGTTGGGAATTCTTGTGGCCTTCTCTCCTGGCCTTCTCTCCTGTCACTATCCATTCCTGTCTCCCAACAGATTCTGGATGGTTGGCATGATGCGTCATGCCACTGTTCTTCCTCAAAAGCACGTGTGGATACTACGTGTGGTCTTGGTCTATCTTGGTCCCAGGTTCATCCAAGGAATGAGGATCCTTGTTTGATTGCAAATCAAGATGAGAACCAGATGGTAACCAGGGAGAGGCTCCCGCTCTACCGTGGTGGATGCCGTGAGGCTCCTCTCTGAGAGCGTGTGCAAGCTGATGACAGTAACTGCCGAATGAACTCATTGGAGGTTTCAGGAGTCAATTCTGGGTGCAAAGCCTTAACGCTCCAGTCCCTGGATACCCTTGATATACATTAGTAATGCCCCTGGATACGCGTGTTCTTGGCTTGACTGCAGCATACAGTTCTCACGAAAACGCCCATGTGTCCCTTAACGGTGCCCTGTTGACGTGCCCTCCAAGTGCCACGGACCCTGCGGTTCCACCCCTTGCATCTCCAAGCTTCCGAGCATCTTCTGTGGAAGAAGGTTGGCCTGACACCGGTCGACCGGAACAAGGCGCTGGCCATCCTTCCAAAAGGGACTCCATGGCTGTGGCTCAGTGGCCGCCAGGGACGCAAGTTTCTTTTAAGAACCGCCCAGTCACATGAACATCCCAGGACTTAAACGTTACTTTTTTCAGATGCTCACGGTGACGCACCCTCTGACATCACCACACGAAGCCGGTAGTATAGGTTGACAAATGGACAAACTGTACTAATCCCAAACACACACTCCATGATGGAATGCGTTCTCCACATTTGATCCCTGAAACCACACTATATTATATATAAGTATAAATATTCCATAATCACATGGAGTGCTTTAGGTGTAAGACCTCATCTGGGGAGCGAACTATCAATCTCTTCAAGTCCACTCAAATAGGCCCTGACGATCTGACGATTCATGACGATCAACCATCCGACTCCCTAGGGTCACTCAATCCCCCCAAAAGGTTCGCCCCACTTTTCCGTGGTCAACAAAACCAGGACTGCAGCTGTGACCACCCTTGACCACAAACCCCCCCCCTTTCCCCGGCTTGGACGGGGCGCGGACGGGCCGCCCACGGTCCGCCGCGCCTGGACGCACTCCATGAGCTCGTTCCGGTGCTCAGGGGTCAGGTCCCGCCACTGGCGGACGAGTCGGGGAGACTGAGTGGTTTTTGGGGGTTGAAAAGGATGTCAAACACACCGAAAGAAGAGGTGGTGTGAGAAAGAGAGAGAGAGAGAGAGAGTTGACCCTGAGGCTCAAACACTGAAGGCCAAACGGAGGTTGGAGTGGTTAGAGCAAAACGGGTGCACGAACTGATGACGAAGTATGGGGCCTTGACGAGCTGCGAGAGACTCGATGAAGATTCGGCAAACATGGTTCTCTTTTCAAGGACGGATTGTCACTGACAGAGTTCTGCTACATCTGTGTGAAGCATCAGCCTAAAAATTGGTCCTACAGTCAAGAACTGGAACGATTCAGGTCAGTTTGACTTGTCCGATGTGGAACCAGCAAGTCAAGTGGCATGTGTGTGTGTCCTTCTGAGTCCAAATTGTGCAGGAATGGGTCGGAATGGGATGCTACAATAAATATATAATTATCTACACATCCTACTGTGTTGACAGTATACTGTAGTTACAGTATTGTGTATAATTGGCACTTCGTGCAAGATGTCTCCACTAGTTGAGTAAGATACCCATTAAACCACACACACAGGAAAACCAGCTGGGGTAAAGCATGGTAAAGCACTGTTCGAGTTCCTTGAATCGTCCCTGACGAAAGCACCTGGAAGGAACGGCAGGAGCGGCGCTGGCGCATCAAGTCAAAGGCATCCCAGTCCTTTCCTGAGCCGAAACGAGCGAACACTGATCCGGAGGTTTAGGCAATAGATTCAGAAACACTAGAATTATAACTAACATAAAATACATATAAAATACATACGTGCATGTTCTGTCCGGAATACTTTTGACCATTCGGACCTGGCAAATCAATTCATTGTCGAACTACAATGGTTCTACTAATATACCTTCCTCTCATTCTTCCAAAGAAACGGCCTGATCACCATATAATGTCACTGTCCACACCCTGGTGGTTCGCTCTTGGAAGTTGGTCTTTCGGCCCCCCACCTTCCCATCCTCGGCCGAAGTCACGTGCTGGGATGGCCTCCGTCGGTCGGCAGTTGAACTTCACTGTGATCAAATCCTCGATCGGATCGCGCGTGTGATCGCCCACGAGAAGCGATTAAGACACGTCTTCGCCGAGAAGGTGCAAAGGTGCCCTGTCTTGAGCACAGTGATGCCTACACTCAGAGGAAGACCAACATGGAAGTGGATGGCCTCCTCCCAAATCTGGCTTGCGATGCGGCCATCGCGCAATCTGCCGAGGTATGAGGAATGAAATCAAATGCGGGGGTGAGCTGTCTAGCGGACGAGTGAACCGGGTCCAGATCACGATCTGTGACCTGCTGCAGACACATGACAGATCAAGCTAACTTGACACCAAACAAGGTACCAGGAACTTTCACGTACGTGTAGATACATTTGGCGAACTTTCTGGGTGTCTTGCCAAATGGCGACATGGCGACAAGTCATTTGGTCGATGGCGTCTTGCCGAGTGGCAAAGCACAACACGAAGAATGCAATAGCGTCCAACACATCCTGAGCTTCCAATGCTGGAGCACATACCATCGGTTGGTAGAAAGATCATATCGACTTAGACTTAGACTATCAACAGATATCAACAAAAATGAACACACAGCATGTTGGCAATGCAAGGCAACAAGCCTTGAGCTGGCTATTGTAGTGGCCCCACAAAACGGTAAACCCCTCAGCATTGCTTCTACGTGTTCGGCTATCAAAATTATTTGTTCAATCTTATGCCATCGAGGACGATTGAGGGGGGCTGCATCGCTTCAGTGGCTGGCTTGCAAACTTCTCCAGATTTTCAGGCGGATCACCTCTTCTGCTCTAGCTCCGAACCCCTTCCTTTGCAGTCAACTTCGTGTGTGCGAAGTGATGGACTGTTGCTGAATCCATCAGCTTCACAGGCTGCTTGGTGTAGGGTAGGGTGTTCAACATGTGTGGAGGTTGGTAAGAAAGCTAGAGGGATGGATATCCAAGAGGTTCTTTATGTAGTCAGTACTACCTCAGGAAGATCAGAATTGCTGAATCCCCTGGAGAACAAAGCGGAACAAAGCAGATTGATCCCAAATGGTCACCTCTTCTCTATGTCTTCCTCCCCGCCCTGCGGAAAGAAACATTCCGGAGCCGTTTCCCCACTTCTTGTTTAGTGGGGTGTCCCCAGTCTACAAAATGAAGGTGTCGCAGGTGTTCCAATGTTCCTGGGTTTCCGCCTGTCTCGAATCTGGAACGATCTGTGCGGAGCAGCTTTCACAGTTGGAGGGTCTTCCCCCCTACACTCCTTGGAAGAAGCATGGTTACGTGGGCATGGCCAAGACTCGGATGAGCATGTTCACTCCGAAGACCAAATCAACCCGGTGGGTTTCACCAGTCTCTGATTCGTGTCTTTGTTTCTCCGAGGGGCAAAGATCGTGGCCAAGTGAGGGAAACCCAAGGTTCGGAAGAGGAAGCCCAGAAAGGACAACAGCACCACCTGAGAGGCGTCGGGTTAGCTCTTGAGGCAAGCTGGGACCATGCCGGTCATGCAGCTTCGTGAGAATAATCTGGAAGGGAGTAGATTGGAGTGATAGTCAGACATGTCCCCCAAAACTGCATTTGGCAAGTGGAGTTAGCAGGAAAACCTCAGGCTTCGATGGAAGCATCCAGTGAAGGCTGCAAGTCAAAGGTGTTGGAGAAAATTAATCTGCAGGAAATGGTGTATCAAGAGCCCAATCAGACCTGCTTCAAAACGGCGACGCCAAGATCAAACGTTCGAGCATCTTCGAGCATTCCACACAAACCTGGTGGTGGTTTTATTTAAAACGGCCAAACACGCGCAAGAATGAGAGAATTGCTCAGTGGGTAGAATAAAATCATGTTTGGCTATATACCAGGGCCCCCCTAAGGGCGTGGTTAATGGACATCCCTTAACCTCAAAGGAGCTATAATTGGACACCCCAAACCGGGGGCACTGACCCACCACAGGAGCATCAACAACTTTTGGCAGCAAGCAGCGAGAATTCTTGGGTTAGCATCAATCAACAAGTCATCATGCAGTCCATCTTTGGCACACTCTCAAGTGTGAAGCTGGGCCGTTCAAGTTCAATCAACCCTCAAAATCCTCAAAATCCTCAAACCCTCCCGAAAATGGACACGCTACATGGCATCCCCTCACTTCTACACCCAAACAATCCCGTCTGCGGCAGTATGTGTCTCCATTTGATGACTCCTACCAACTCCTATACCAGCTCACTTGTTTGGTCCTCCAAATGCCGGGACTGGCATCGGCCAATCTTCAGAGTCCACACCCCTTTTCGAACCCAGGCGCGAGGAACATGTTCGGAATGTACCTGTGCGCGGGTTTCCCCGCTCCGGTTCCGGTCGCGTCGCTGTGTTTCGAGTCCGAAGGGGGTTGGGAAGTGTTTCGCCGGCGTCACATCGAGTCGAGACGGCGCTGGTCCGGTCGGATCGTATCAGAGACGGTGCCCATCTTGGGGTGTTCTCAATGGTTGACAGGGATAGATTCACATCTTCCATGGCGCCACCAGCGGATCGAACGATCGAAAAAAGAGAACCCAAACGGACCCCGCACAGGCTTCCCGGAGCGACCAGTGACGGTTTTCCCGGTTTCCATGTTTGGTCGGAAAACGGAAGATGACTCTGGAAGACTCCTAGCTTTAGGACTGGCTCATGGAGGTGTCCACAGATGTCTGAAAATCGGACCAACAACAGAAAACATCCAACAAACAGGTACAACAGGTCCTAAGATTGCAGTAAAACCTGATGCTTTACCTCATCATTCGAAGTGTTTTTTGACCAACAACTCCAGTATTTCAGGAGCTCGTTGACAGTTCAGTCTCAGTGATTTCCTCTGCTACTTGGACTGATATTGCCTGCAATTTTGCCCACCAACAAACCACACTGAACCAACTCTGGCGAGTTCGGATGTGCCAAGCGAGCTGAAACCAACAACGGTTTGGCCAAACCAACGACGAGAGTCGGGTGAAAAGCCGAAAAAACACCGAAGCCCTGCTACATGGATCTCTCTATTCTCTCCTGTCCAATTGCCTCAATCCAGCATAGAGCAGCTCTACGATGCTTTAAGCATCTATCCAGAACTTTTCTCTGTGGTCGCTTCCTCAACTTGGCTTTCTGCCAACTCCAAGTGGATTCTCTCATTCGCCCCCCTAGCATTCCCTCATAGCCAAACTGGTCAAAGGAAACAAGCATACTTGAGTGAATCCAAAAGCTACAGTCTGATCAGTACTGTAAGAGGGTTTCTTTGGCGGATTTCTTCGGATTTCTGGGCTTTCTGAACCAAAAGGCCAAGGCATGCCAAGGCACTGCAACCATCCAGTCCACTGCAACGAAACCTTGATTCGCCAGGCCAAGGACTCAGCCATGGCGCCCCTTCGACCGTCAATTAGGAGGAGGTTCCGGTCACGCGCGCGACCCGGGCGCCCGCGGTCTTGAGCCGAAGCCAAGCTGGGCACGGTTTCGACTGGGGGGGGGGGGGGGAACAAAGCGCGCGCGACACCGAAGGTGTGTGACACCGGAGGTGGAGGTGGCCAGATTTGCTTTCTGGCGCACCAGCCACTTCTTGTACAAGTGTCAAGTGTCTAAAAATGAGAGACTGAAAAAAAGAAAAATAAGAAAACCAACAGACATAAAGAACAATCAAAGACACGTTCACCTGCGCCTTCGCCTGTGATCTCCAAAACAGGTTATCCATCAAGATCCAGGGCCTTTGAAGGGACTTGACCAAACCAGGTGAACCTGTTCCTCTCAGGTGATGCAAATGTGACTGCTGACTCCCTCTGTTTCCCCGGAAAATAAAGGTGAACCTTTAGCCACCTGTTCTTACCTCCCTGTACCAGCACTGGTCGCTGGTAGCACTACGGACACTCTGGTCGCAACAGTGCAAAAGAACTCCACAAGTCACGAGGCCGAAAACGAATTACGACACGCAAACCGACAACGAGAAGCCCCACAGCGACAAACTCTGAGAGCAACCATCCAGGAGAATGGCTGCAAACTTGAGCAGCTCAGCATGAGACACAAACGGTCCAGCCCCTTCAACGGTTCCCTTAGGGAGTGCACGACCACACTTCCTCGCAGCTGTTGCATTGTGCATCCCAGGCCGAAGATGCTGTGAGGGCAACGCAAAGATGCCTACAAGAATCTTTCGATTCCTCTTTTGAGCAACCGCAAATGAAGCGACATCCATGTCAAAGCTCTCCAAGGTGAATTTCCTGTGAAGAAACAAGAAGGCTAATTCAGCATAATAACCAATACTGCAAGTATCATGCACTCTCCAGTGGGGGAACCCATCCGCCCGGATTTTTTTCAGGTTATCCACCCTTCCTGGGCAGGAATGCGAACTCGTGAAACATCGTCAAAGGTTCCTTCGACCCTTCGATGGCATCCCAGGTGAATGACCAAAATGCGCTCATGCTGAGCTGCCAAAACCTCTACCCGTCTCTCCCTCTGGGTCTTATTGAAAGGTCCGGTACGAACGCACCCCACTGCGACAGTGACAGTCTTGTAAAGTGTCCAATATCATGAATGTGCTAGTAAAACACCCCACACAACGAGGCTTTACAATCCAAATAGGGTGGATTAGGATGGTTCTACTCATTGTCTACAGGTGCCGGTGCCGGGTATACCCGACACCCAGCTGTTTTCACTCTCATCGCCACCCGGTGCACACACTCCCCCATGTAAACAACACGTCACATTGCAAAACCTTCTTAGGAAGTAGTTGGAGCCCGAGCAAGTTCTATGTTGGTTATGTTGGTATATTTGCAATAAATACCTGTAACAGCGGATTTTAGGATAGCAGGCCGAAACCTTAAAAAGAGTGATTATCGTTTTACCAACTGTTACAGGTACTGGGACACGCCCAAGTTCTAAAGGTCAGATTCCCTTATAGATATAGTTTAGACTAAAGACCCTGGTCGTCCAGGCCTGGCCATGCTTTCGGCCACCACGCTTTCGTTCCCTCAGAGCATGTGGTGCGATGTCGAAGCGTCGGACTGGACTTGGTTGAAGATGGCAAAGACTGGAAGATTGGCTGTCCAAGTAACAAACAGGCCAAACAGCTTTACTGATGCAGCTTCCTCTTCAGAATTTCCACCAGGCTTCGGCTTCTTCTCGGGATTGGGATCTGCAGAAAAGAAACACATTAATGAACAAAACATATTGAACGTCATTGAACACATATGACATTCGACCTGGAGTCGCTTCAGGGGTCCACCGGGAATCTACTCCGATCCGCAAAACCCTCATGACGCTCAATTGGCCCCTACACGGACAGGACGCCAATGGCCTCCTGCATGCCCTCCAAGTGCTCCTTCCCCAAACTGCTCCTTCAAATCATCTGATAAACCCCAAAAACTCGAACTAGGCCACTAATATTTGCAAGATCTTGGAGTAATAAATATCATCCGATATCCCATTACCAGTAATTAAGAGTGGATGATGATGGTTAGGTTAGGTTGCAGGCCATACTCAAAGAGAGTAATTATCCTCGACCGACCGTTACTGGTTTACTGGGGCACGCCCCAATGTTGAAGAATCCGTTGATTCAAACAGCAAAGAGAAACCAACGGCATTCCGCGGCTCTGTTCAGAGGGTGAAAGCCTCATCTATCTGACAACGAAGACCAGTTTTTCTTCTTCGCCCTTCAGATCCCTTTGGGCTCTTGGATCGACCGGAATCCGATCAGTCTGCTGTCTGCGTCTGCTTTCGGGGTCCCGAGACCGATGTTCCCCTCATGCACGGACGTTCAATGACGTTCACATCAAAATCTGAGATCAGCACTCAGGCATTCTGTTTTCACCTATGCCAGAAATCGGAGCTCAACAGTGGAGTCCAGACTGGTGTTGCAAGATGCAGCCTTGGATACTATTCTGAGTCGCTTTTGGTATGCGACTGTTCCCATTACTCGCCGATCTCTTGATTTCAAACCATGATTCGATGCACTGCGATTGGCGAGTCTGATTCATAGTGATCATACAATGGGCCCATTCAGTTCGATCCTCCAGGAGGTGTTCTGTTCACCCAACAGAATTGGAGGATGCTAGGTTGTTGAGCCAGAGAGCTGATGGGCTCATGTCTTGAGATCCATTTGGTTCACGTTGTGGACGACCATCCAGTGAGGGGCACGAAGGCGGGGCACGAAGGCGGTGCCCTCCAAGTTCGGCACCCAACTCCATAGCAACTCCTGGGATACATATATAACCCATAACACTCCATGTATGCCATATATGCATGGCTTCGTGTTCTTATAGTTTCAACACATCCCATGAAACATCCCTCTCTCTCTCTCTCGCTCGCAAACCGCTCGCTCGCTCGGACTCGGACGCCAACCCCCCTTGGTTTCTCGGTGCAAACATCGACCTAGCCATACCATACCTGACCCATTGCAAAGCTGTCGAGCTGCAGAACAAATGAAGTAGTAAGTAGTAAGCACTAAACCCCTCAAAGTGAAGCCCCCGAGGCAGTTTGCCTCAGAAACTTCTTTGATTGCACTTCAAAGGGTGAAAGACAGTCGACGAGTCGACGAGTCGATGAGATGGATCTCTGTGGTCATGTTGCTGTTGGATTTGGATTTAATCATAAATCAGTATCTACTACTAATACAGTAAGTTATCTATATTTGTTCACAACATGTTGGTGGACCTGGGAAAAGCCGAAAACCTCCCGATGTGTCGTTCACCAATTTGTCAAACACTCTAACAAAAAATGCACACTCCGTGAAACATGGAAGTGGAACATAATTAGACCCTGAAGGGAATTCCAAACCTCCGATGGGACCTCAATCCATCGCCACACCCCGACATCCCGGAACAACGCCTGTACTCGAAGGCGCAGCTGTCACAGCTGGATGCAATCTCGCTACAACCACTCTCTTGAGCTACGACCGCGAGGCAATGTGCAAAAATGTGCAAACTGTTGCATGACTCTGGGCTCTGGGCCCAAGATTAACTAAGATCGTATTTGCAGTGAGTTCTCGCATTAAACTCAAGAAGTCATCTGAGTCAGCTGACATAATTAGGATCAAAATCTGAAATTGGTCTAAGTTTTCTGCAATCTGAACCTAGTTGATTGATTGGAGGCGTCTCTTGAGTGTTCTGTCAAATTCTTTGATATGCCCATGTTGGAGGCAGAAACCTTCCCATCACTCCCTGGTCTAGGGAAAACGTGTCAAAAAATATTCATCCGAAGTGTACTCCGCAACTCTGCGGATTTCAGGGAAATGCACCACAGCGGCCGCGCCGGGGCTCCTCTTTTTCGGCGCCACGTGGCGTTCCGCGCCAACTTCGGGGTGAAAGACCAGCCTGACGGGTGGGCGATGGAGAGCTCCCTGGGAGCACCAGAGGTCCATGTGGGCCGAAGTTTGCTCAAAACTTCCAAAAACCGAGGTATGGCCTAAACTGAATTGTGGCCTGGTCCAAAACGACTTCTTGAAGTGTTCATACTTTGGTTTTTTGCCCAACACTTATTGAATTCTGGCCTTTTCACCAAGGTATGACCGGGCATGACCATAGGCATGAGGTACTCATGTGCCATACATTCAGCACGCTGAGCAAAACAACTGTCCACAAGCTATACATGATTATTTTGTTCTGCAAAACAAAATCCTTCCAACCTAATAGCGATGTCCTCCTCCAACCCACTAACGAAACAGCTCGTCCTTCCAAACAAACTGAGTGATCGCTGATCTCGGGCGTTCACCGGTTGCGGCAGACGCAGCGAGCTCGTCCGGCAGCGAACCGCGCGTTGGACGTAATGATCGCTGCACATCACATTGGAAGTGGAACAGGTGGGGGGTGCTAGGAAGACCATTTTCCTCTACAAACAGAGCTTGTTCAATCATTGTCCACTTCCAAGTGACGCAAAGTCTATTTTTCAACCAACAATGGTGACATGGCTCCACTTCCGTGGCCGAGAGATGGAAGAAGCGGGCGTTACGCCCAAATGATCTGGAACATCAGTTAATCTGCCAACCTCGCTGATGATTTCTTGCAGTGGTCGAAAGGAGTAGATGGCACTGGCACCCCAAGATGTCTTTTAGATGTGAGTCGTTAAAAATCACCAAACTGGTCGATTCTGCAAACTACTCTGAAACCACTGTAAGTTGTTGCATTTACTTGGGGAATGTCGACAATCACATTCCGCGTTCCAAGATTCAATCCTCTTCCGACGGTGGCTGGAAGTGGCGAAGCAATCTGCACAAAGCCAATCACCCTCAATCACCCATTCCCAAACACTCCTTCTGGGACTGGTATATATGCATATATATATGCCAATCGACCCCTTTTCAACGAAAAAAACCCATGACAGTTCCCATGGAGTGTCAGTCCTCGTGTCTGGGACCTGACTCTCTGGTCCGAAACCT